CAATGCAGGGAACATGGGTTCGATACCTGGTCCAGGAAGATCCCACAGGCTGCAGAGCAGCTAAACCTGTAAGCCACAACTATTGAGCCTGTGCTCTAGAGCCGATGAGCCACAACTACTGAGCCCACGCGCCCTGGAGACCACACACCACAACTACTGAGCTGACACACCACAACTACTGAAGCCCGCGCACCTAGAGCCTGTGCTCCACAAGAGAAGCCACCACAATGAGAAGCCCGTGCACTGCAAGGAAGAGTCGCCCCCACTCACTGCAACTAGAAAAAGCCAGCATACAGCAACGAAGACCCAATGCAGCCAAAAATAAATAAATTAATTAAAAACAAAAGAAAAAACTGCTCTAAAAAAAAATTATCTTAAAAAAAATAAGTCCTGTCAGAAGAATGAGCTCTCTAGAAGACAAAGGCTGCTTTCATTTAAAAAAATTCATGTACAGTGAAGTGGACAAATTGTAAGTACAGCATTTGGTTAGTTCTGACAAATATGTTCACATATGTTTCCCATATAGAATTGTAAAATATGACTATCACTCCAGAGTTTTTCTTGTGGTCCTTCTCAGTGAATACCTGACCCCACCACACTCCCGGAGACAGGTACCTGTTTTCAGAATAATTTTTAACTTACACCCAGTGAAATTCTTTTTTAAATTAAATCCAGAAATCTCTGGATTACTTGGGCTTATTGTTCTTGGTTATAGACTCTCTAGAAGTCACAGAAAATTTCCAGCCTTTCCTTAGATGATAAGATATTTTGTGTAAATGACTTTTTATCTATAAGTTATTTTTTAAATTTACTTTTTATTTTATATTAGAGTATAGCTGATTTACAATGTTGTGTTAGTTTCAGGTGTACAAAGTGATTCAGCTATGCATATATCCATTCTTTTTCAGATTCTTTTCCCATACAGGTTATTACACATTATTGAGTAGCGTTCCCTGTGCTATACAATAGGTCCTTGTTGATTATTTTACATATAATAGTGTGTATATGTTAATCCCAAACTCCTAATTTATTCCTCTCCCCACCTTTCCCCTTTGGTAACCATAAGTTTGTTTTTGAAGTCTGTGAATAAGTTTCTGTTTTGTAAATAAGTTCATTTGTATCATTTTTTTAGATCCCACGCATAAGTGATATCATAGGATATTTGTCTTTCTCTGTCTGACTTCACCTAGTATGATAATCTCTAGGTTCATTCATGTTGCTGCAAATGGCATTTCACTCTTCCTTATGGCTGAGTAATATTCCATTGTATATATGTACATCTTCTTTATCCATTCCTCTGTTGATGGACATTTAGGTTGCTTCCATGTATTGGCTATTGTACATACTGCTGCAATGAACATTGGAGTGCATGTATCTTTTCGAATTACGTTTTTCTTCAGATATACGCCCAGGAGTGGGACTGCTAGATCATATGGCAACTCTTTTCAATTTTTTAAGGAACCGTCATACTGTTCTCTATAGTGGCTGTACCAGTTTACATTCCCACCAACAGTGTAAGAGAGTTCCCTTTTCTCTACACCCTCTCCAGCATTTCTTATTTGTAGACTTTTAAATCATGGCCATTCTGACTAGTGTGAGGTGGTACCTCATTATAATTTTGATTTGCATTTCTCTAATAATTAGCGATGTTGAGCATCTTTTCATGTGCCTCTTGGCCATCTGTATGTCTTCTTTGGAGAAATCTCTATTTAGATCTTCTGCCCATTTTTTGATTGGGTGGTTTGTTTTTTTGATATTGAGCTGCATGAGCTGTTTGTGTATTTTGGAGATTAATCCCTTGTTGGTTGCTTCATTTGCAAATATTTTCTTCCATTCATTGGGTTGTCTTTTCGTTTTGTTTATGGTTTTCCTTTGGTGTGCAAAAGCTTGTAAATTTGATTAGGTCCTGTTTGTTTATTTCTGTTTTTATACTGAGTTATTTTAAATTATGAAACAGAAGAACTGATCTTCAAGCACAGAATAGGTGTTCAATATAAGCTTTTTATTTCCATAATTCTAAACTGCATGGATCTAAGAAAAATATATTTAATGGGCAAAACTTTCAAAAGAAAAGAAAAAGCAAGTCACTGTCACTCATTCCTATGTAGCAGTAGTCCAGTGAAGGCAAAGCTCTCAATGTATTGTACAAGGTGAAAAAGAAGCTCTCAGGCTTCAGAGTTGCAGGATATTATTAAAGCCCTGTGACCATAAACCAGGCTGGCCTTAGTGCCTCTTTCCCAGACAGTCTTATTTAACATCAGCACTCCAGGCAGGGCAGGTCAGAACCTTTCAGAGCCAGGAAAACACCTCCTGCAGTGCTTAATCATACATATCTTGAGGCTTGTGGATAAACTCTTTATCAAACGAAGGCTTGAGTCCCAAACAAGTATTGAGTGGCTCATTTATTCCTTCTTTTGTCCCACCAAAATGATTTTTTTAGTGCATGGACAATTCTGCAGAGATTTATTAAGTCCTCATATAGACCTATTCCTGTGGAGCATGTCAGGATGAAAAATATGATTCTCAATTTCAAGGGGTTTTATGTTTTAGGGGGAGAACCAGGTAGAGGAGAATTCCAATTAAGAGGAGGTAGGGCATGATGGAGAGGGAACTTCTGGAAGAGGGAAAATCTGAACTAGACCTTGAAAGATTGGTAAGGTTTTTTTTTTTTTACAAATATGGATGAGAAGAAAGAGCAAATAATTTTTCATACTGCAGCCCGAGTGATCTTTATGAAGCACAAATCTGATCATTACATTCCTCTACGTAAAGCCCTTCATCGATGAGAAATATTAACACTCGTGTTTTATGAGATAATAGTGCCTGGCACACAGTGGATGAGGAAACTGAGGCCCAGTAGGGGCCGTGCCCTCCCCAGAGCTAGGTACTTAATGGCAGAACCAGACTGGGACTTAGTCCCCTAGGAAATACTCCTCTCCTTAGGCATCTCAGTAGCCATTTTAGGTTCAAGAAAATAAATCAGCATCCTAGGATACAAGTATATCTGGGCTGTGGAGGACCATACAGCCATTCAAACCGGTGGGCACATCTGCGTGTAATCACCCAGAAGGAAATTCAAGATTACTGCTAATTCAGTAAGGGAAGTTGCCGAAATTATAGGTAGCATAATCCTGTTTTCACAAAACTAATGAAGTTTGTGAGTGGCAGGAAGAGGTCTGGAATGATAACACCAATGTGCTAGCTGAGGAGGGGGGATTTGGCAGAGGAACTTTCACTTGTTAACATATACATTTCTTTGTTGCTAGAGTTTGTTTTGGTGGCGGGTGGTCGTCTTGTTTTATTTACAAGAAGCATGAGTTTTGTTTCTAATTAAAAAGGCAGGCAAAACCAAACTCTCCGCTGACCCTCAGGATTGTGTCCAAATTCCTTACTGAGGCCCCTCTTGATCCACCTGCCTTCACGCCTGCTCTCCCCCTTCCAGTTCCGCCTGCATCCGAGCTCCAGCTGCCAGAACTCAGGGCTCTGCCTTCTGGACTGTGAGCTTCTTCTTCTCTCTACCCTTCTTTTCCCCTTCTCTCAGTGGGGCTGTCTTTTATTTATCCTTCAGGGCTGGTGCTTCCTGAAATACTTTCTTCCCTATTGTTTGGCACCATGTTGCCTTCGTTTTCCTTTTTCTTTTCCTTCCTGCCCCCTTTGGCAGCTCATTTCTTCTCCGTGGCCTTTTAGCTCAGTCCTTGGCCGCCTGTTCTCTCTCGGGTGGAGCTCCTTCCCATCCACTTCTTCCGTTCCATCGCTCTGCCTCGACTCTCACACGTCCAACCCCAGGCCACGCTTCCCTCTGAGCACGACATTTGGAGAGCCTTCTTCAGAACTAACCCCCCGACTTTCCCGGGACACACATACCCTCAGCAGGTGACACTGTTGTCCTTCCTGTGTGCTTCTCCCTTCTCTGCAGCCCAGACACTTTTCTTTATTGCACTGCTGCTCCCTTCTCACCCAGAGCATGATGGCCCTGTACCTCCTCCAGAAGGCTCTTCAAAACACAGCTCTGGTGTTCCCTCTACTGAAAATCCTTCAGAGGCTTCCCGCGGCTCTGAGGACAAAGACCTTACTCTTCAACCTCAGGCTCAGCTTATCTGACCCGAGCTCACATCCCCCTGTACCCCCTGCACACCAGCCCCACTGGCCTTTCAATGCTTCCCTCTAAAGGGCCTTGCTTCCGAGACCATTGCCCTGCTGACCTGGCCTTGAGTGTGCCCTCCTCACAGCCTCCCTGCACCCTGGTTGGTGCCTAGTTACCACCTCTCTTTCCACAGAAATCACACTGCTCAAGGAAACCTTTCCTGATGCCCAAACTAGACCAAACCCCTGATGGGGCGCTCAGAGCCCCACCACTTTCCTTCACAGTCCTCCTCACCGTTTGCTGTGAAGGTTTGCATAATTCATGGATTCACTAGACTGAAAGCCCAGGCTAGGGACTGTGCCTGTTTTCCTCCTTTTGTGTCCCCCAGACCTAGCAAGGACAGGCACGCAATAACAGAAATGTGAAAGTTGAGGGAGAGGAAACAGGTGAGAAGAGTTAAGGGGAGAAAGTCCATGGGGTCAAGAATAGCTGAGTATGCCTGGTAGGCCAGCTGATGTCAGTCAGACCAAGGAATCTGGGTTGTATTTTGTGAATCAAAGGAGGTCAGCCAAGCTTCCAGGGCAGGACAGCTGAATTATATGATCAGCTCAACAGTGTAAATGGGATGACCTAGTACATTCCAAAAAGCCTTCAACAGTTTGGATTGATATTGGCTATGTCTCTGAGAAAAGGAATTGGGGATGGATTTTATTTTCTGTGTGCTGTGCTTGAAGTCTTTGGTGTTACTACTGTAGGTGAACGACACTGGAGGACTTCTCATTCAGCGGTCTGAGTGCTTCATCCATTAGCTCATTAGGACGGGAAAGCCTATGACGATAGCCGGCGGAGCATTTCTGCACCTTTCTTTAGCAAGGAGTCCAAACATTTTTTGAGTTCAATTTTTTTTTTAAAACAGGTGTTTACTAAAGTGAGCAAGGATCTTCTGCAGCTGTTTGGAGCCTGAGTGGCAGATGACACCAACTAACTGGGGACAAGTATGAGTTACACTCCAAAGGCTGCTGCAGCAGGATGCCCAGACAGCACGTAGACCACCTCCACACCTGCAGAGCTGAGAGGATCTCAGGTAAGGGGTCCATAGATGCTCAGTAATGAGGCTTGTGAGAGAAATACTTTAACTGGAGGTGAGGCCTTGATGGCAGTTTTGGCTTCGGAAGCAAGGTTGGGGTCATCATTCAGCTGCCTCTCCCTCCACCTCCTGAGGGGCCCTAGGTTTTATTTATTTATTTATTTTTATTTTATTTTTGGCTGTGTCGGGTCTTAGTTACGGCGTGCAAGCTTCTCTCTAGTTGTGGCACAAGGCTCTGTTGTTGTGGCTCATGGGCCTCTCTAGTTGTGGCTCACATGCTCAGTAGTCGCGGCACACGGGCTTAGTTGCCCCGCAGCATGTGGGATATTAGTTCCCCGACCAGGGATCGAACCTACGTCCCCTGCATTGGAAGGCAGATTCTTAACCACTGGACCACCAGGGAAGTCCCCTTAGGTTATATTTAAGTAGACCGCCTTCCCTACCTATAACTGTGAGTGCCAAAGCAATCCAAACGTGCCTCCACTCTAAGCTATAAAGAAACAATTAACCACAGTTAATGGCCCATAATTTGTTACTTCTGTATTCTATTCCCAAGGTTCCCTCCTAAGTTATTACCCATGAAGAAACATAAAACTGCACATAAAACTGTATTTCACAGAAACAAAGTGAGCTCTTTTTTGCTTTATTTCCCTCTGATTTAAAACAGTGGGTCTTCCTAGATGGAAAAGAGGTTCATCCCCACAGATGGGAAAGGCTACCACTCAGTGTTTTGCACCATGACAATGCAGACACATGGACAGGACCAGCTACAGAATTTGCAAGGCCCAGTCCAAAATGAAAATGAGGCCTCTTGTTAAATATAGTAGGAATTTCAAAACTGCAATAGAAGTGCATTAAACCGAGGGCAAGGTCCTTCTGAGTACGGGGCCCTGTGTGACTGCAGAGGCTGTGCACACACCAAATTTCTAGGTACTAGGAGGATGCGGGGGTCGGGGGGGGGGAAACGCTACCCCGAGAAGCTCAAGCATAGGAGCAGCTCCTCCCCTGGCAGAGAGCCTCTGCAGAGGAGGGAGTGTCAGGAGACCTGGACAAAGCATGGGGTGGCCAGAGGGCCACTGCTGAGGGAGCAGATGGTGTGGCCAAGGACAGCGTTCTCTTGGTGGTCCTCCCAGTTCTGATCTGCTTGGGGTTTGGTTATTAGAGTGCCCACGGATCAGAAAGGAATTGGGGTGCTTTAGAAAACTAGAAGGAAGGGGCAACAAGTGAGTGTAGACAACACTGAGATTGAGGAGGCATGAAGAAAGGGAGTTTCTAGAATGGAATTATCCCTGTTTTATTTTCATTTAATCAACCAATCTTTTTTATTTTTAACTGAAGTAGAATATCAAATTTAGATGATTTTTCCCCCTAAACCTACTCCTCCCCATTCTCCATTTTAGTAAATGATCCAACTGGATGGATCATTGTCCATCCAGGTGATCCAGGCAGAAACCTGGAGTCTGGTTCCTCCTCCTCCTTTGCCTCAACAGTGCTCACTGAATCCTGTTAGTTCTCTCTTCAGGGTCCTTCTTGGGCCTGCACATCTACCTCTGTATCCAATGATGCCACCACCACTTCTTGCCATGACTGACAGCAGCCTCCTCACTGCCTGGCTTTTGAATCATGCAGACTAGAGTTCACGTCCTCATTCTGCCACATGTTAGCTGAGTGACCTTGGATAGGGCTCTTCACCTTTCTGAGCCTCAGTTTATTCATCTGTAAAATGGGAATAATAATACAAAGGGTTGTTGTCTGGACTAAATGAAATGACGAAAGTGTCTTAGTACACAGTACATGCTCAATGAATTAGCTTCTTGTCTCTTTCCCTCTTCATTCCTCAGGCCTTAGTTTATACATTACTTCCCTAGGAACCCCTCTGCCGACTTGCTGCAAGTTCCCACAGATCCCCAGACTGCTCTGCAGCGTTCATCACACTTACCTGTCTTTTGTCCACAGTCTTCTCCATGAGCACAGGATTCTGGCTTTCTCTGCCTACTGAGGTGCCTGACATGAAGTAGGAATTCGTATTTTGTTATTTGACTGGTATCCCTGTATATAATCAAAGGTTCCCAGCCATGGGGTCTCTGTAATGTCCCCCCACCAACTCTAGGTAAGTGGGCAGATGACCATAAACAAACGATGGAAACCAAGAGCATCCTACCCAATATAAGTTAAACCTAGGGCACTGGGGCAACTCGTCATAGCAGATCCCGTTCATGAGAAGCAGGCCTTGGTCAGGTAAGGCCCATTCAAGGCCAGCCGACCAAGCCAGGAAGCCAGTGCTCCAGATCAACACAAACTTCCCTGGGAAGGCAGTGAGGCTGGGCTAAGGAAGGGACAGCACTACGGGCAGGACCACCCGCCCTGGAGAAGGAATGAAGGTGGCCCCCATTCATTGACCCAGGGCCACCTGAGTAGTTGGGCCAACCCTCCTCCTCAGGCCTTGACAGCTCCCCACTAGATATCCCCCACTGAGGCCAGTCAATTGCATGAGAGGTATGCACACCAAGGGGCTGACGCCCTGAGAAGCCCAAGGTGGAGGGGCTGGGTTTTTTGTTTTCTGAACTTTGAAGTAACATATACGTAGAAAAGTACATTAAAAATCTGTAGTTTATACTCCAATAAAGATGTTAAAAAATTTTTTAAAAAAATCTGTAGAGGCTGATGAGTTATCAGATGAGCATTCATGAAAGCCACTACTCTGATCAGTACCTAAAGCATCTCCAGCACTCTGGAAGCCCACTTACCCTCCCCAACCTGCTCGCTCCAACCCCTAGAGATGACCAAGGCCCTGGCTTTCGTAGTTACCATACCTTGGCATCTGAAATAATACTTTTGCCTGGTTTTGAACTTTTAAAGAATAGAATCATACAGCACATAATATTGTTCTTTTTTCTGTTCAGTATTATGTGAGATTCATCTGTGTGTTTGTATGTGTAACTAGTTTATTCATTCATTGCTGTGTTAGATCTTGTAGATGAATGTTTCACAAACTGTTTATCCCTTGCTCTGTTGATGGACATTTGTACTGTTTCTGGCTTGTGTATTTTATTGCCTTAGTGTGAGGCTGTCCTGGATGACTTGCAGAGGCAAGGGGAGTTTGGAGCAGAAGGGAAAGGAGGGGGAGAGGCAGGAGGAGCTCTGGGCATGGCGGCAGGGCAGGTGAGAGGGACTCTCAGGTCAGATAGGGCTGTGGAAGTACAGAGTGGGGCTGACGGCACCGTGGAGGAAAGGGTGCCAGAGGGCTCCTTTGAAAGTTTGCTCCTACTCAGAGACTAGAGGAGTGCAGTTCCCCTCTGAGGGCAAGTGTTCTGCGTGCTGAAGGCCATGGTCATGTGGTTTAGCAGGCAGGAGTTCAACTCCTCCACCTTCTGGACCTGCTGCCTGAACCCACTTCTCTGCTCCCCATGGGGTGCAGGGCCGGCTCTGCATGCCTAGAGAGAAAGCCAGGCAGGGCAGCTGATAGCAAAATATTGCCCTAGGGGGACAGAGGCAACACCACAAACTGGCCAGGGAGTCACCTCTGGTGCCTCTTTCTCAGGATGGGCAGACATCAAGAGATTTGTGTTTGGGAAGTTCAGGGATCACCACTGCCCATCCAGACACTGACCAGAATGGAGGTAAGGCAGCAGAGCCCCGAAAGGAAGGGGCCAGCACGGCTGACTGCTTGCCCAGCCCTCACCTGCCCTGGAAGCAATGCCACCCTGTGGAGCCCACCTCTCGGAGACTCCCAGCAGCCCCGGGCAGAGCTCCCACCCCAGCAAGAGAACCTGTCCCTGGTAACACTCCACCCACTTAAGTGGCTGGATCTTAAGTATTTCACCTTGGGGACCATCTTGGCTGGAGATGGCCGGGAGTCCCTATCACCCCTGAAAGACCTGACATGTTTCCCTCCTCCCTCCAGCTGAGCAGGTACAGGTAAGAAGAGAAGTTCTCTTGCCTTGGAGCAGTACAGCTGCCTGGGAAACAAGAAGGGTTCCTGCTGCTTCCAGCTCTGGACGACGTGTGAAAGCAGGTAAGGTGGGGGCCTCAGGCAGAGCAGAAGTTCAAGTGTGGGCTTTGCAGGATGCTACCCATGCTGCAGGGCAACTAGACTTTGTAAAACATGATCTATTTCCTCATTGGATCCTCAACAGCTTTGTGGGTTGACTGGACAAACTTCCCCATAGAGGAGAAATTAAAGCAGAGTAGAGTGGTCAAGGCTACACCCTAAATCATCAATGAAGGGGCTAGAACACAGGTCCCACAATCTCCGGGTCAGGGCAGCACAGAGCTACGCACACACAGGCATGTGCCTAGACAGACACCCAGCTCTGGCTTCTTGGGCTAAGAGTTGCCTTGACCCCTGACACCTGCCTTGGGGAGGAATTCAACTCTTCCTAGCGGGGCTTCGGGGAGAGGATGGCAAAGTGACATCAGTGTTCACACCTGCTCCAAGCTGACTGGGAAGGAAATGCTGACATCCTAGCACTTTAGATCCTGCACACAGAAGACAAAAGGCAAGGCCCGTGCTGCAGGCCTTTTGGTTCAGCCATCCTTTCAACTGACAAGACTGGGCAAGCAGTCCTCAGGCCCATGAGAACCAGTCCCCAAGTTAATGCCTCAGAGCTGCACAGGGTAGATGTAAGGGTATGTATGTGAGGTGGCCTTGCACACTGGCTCAGGTGGGCACACCTGATGCCTTAGCAGTTCCTCCAAGCCCCTGGGGAAGGATGACTTCGCTGCATTTCTGGCAGAGACTCGGAACTGTTGTTAATAAAGTGTCTCCATTTTAAGTACCCTGATTTATAAATTTCCAGGGAAGCAGGTGTGGAAGGAGGGCAGAGACTGAACCTCAGGAACACCAATACCAACATAGGCACAGGGAAAGGATGATCTGGCGCAGCCTCTAAGGCCAACTGCAGAGGCAGAAGAGCCAGCAGGTATGGTTAGTCCTTGGGGACACCCAAGAACGTGCTGGGGGGCAGAAGTCTGAGGCAGCAGTTGGCTGGTTTATCAGCTCAAGTGAAAGAATAGAAAGAATTATGCTACCCAGGTCAGGTCCCAAGGGCTGACAGGGACTTCAAAATTGGGAGCCTCCCCAGTATAGAGTATGTGCCAGTGAGTACCAGAATCTTCTGGGTGACTTGAAAGAACCTCTAGTTCTAGGGACTGATTTTCCAATGGGCAAAATACAGTAGGGGAACCATTTATAATTAACTCACATCTGTTTTAATTTGGATGACGAAGGCTTAAATATGTTCAGCCACTATGGGCTCTTTTGGCATTGGAGATGAAAGGAGGACGAGCTGACGGCAAGGTCTTCACTCCTTTTCCAACCTTGGGCTCGCTTGCCAGGTAGTGAACACAATCTGGTCCAGGCCTTAGACATCCATGCTGGGCAGAGGTAAGGCCCACCTCGCTCTACCTCCCCTGCCTCCTCGGCCTGGAGAGCTGGCTGGTCTGCATATCTTAGGGCTTGGTCAGTCTTCAGTCAGGAACCTAAAACTCATCACCTGTTCAGCAAAGTGAGGCCACATCAGTCTCCACAGGACTCAGAGTTCTTAGATGCCACCCCAACTCCAACAAGCGATTTCTTTCTCTTGGCCCCCTTTCCCATTGCTTTTATAGGACTTTAAAGCAGCAGTGCACCTGCAGACTTGCATCCATTAAAAAAATATATTTTAAGTTCATATATGAACTTTAAAGTCTCTGAGTAGTGATAAACTTGCAATTTATTTTAACTCAGATCAGAATGTTACCTCTGTAAGGTGGAAGACCCAGGGCAGGGCCAGTCATCTTCTAGTTTTTAATACATGGTGGGACAGAAGCTCTGTCTGGCTCTGACCGTTCAGAATGTCCACCAGCAGCCAGAGACAGAAATGTCACCTCATTAATGGATGGTGGAAAGGGGAGCACTTTCTAGGCACTCACTGTCAACCCCCTCTTTGTGGCCAGTGCTCTGCTCTAGATAAGGAAATGCTCAGTTCCTCACCACACACGGGCAACTCAGCTGGCGCTGCGGGGCTGGATTCCAGCCCAAGTTTGTGGGCTCAGAAACCCCAGGTTCTTTCCACCAAACGAGTGGGTTTGAAACTGGCTCTTGTGGCAGTGCTTCAGAGGTTCCCTGCAAAGTGTCATCTTAAATTTTAAAAGTCGTCTGTAACACGTACACTCAGATGTAAAACGTGCATTGCTTAGGCTGCCTGAGACCTCAGGTAAGGCCTCCATTATTGTGCTTGTGTGGGCTTCTCAGGTCGCTGATGCAGAAGGTGCAAGCCTTGTGCTGGGATCGCCACACCCAGCTGCAACTCAGTGCTATGGCTCTCACCATAGTACAGTTTTAGTGATTATAACCTTCGTGTGTTTCTTACCTGATGTATGGAGGATAAGGGCTGAAAGCAGGTATTGGATATTCCTCTTGATCTTTTTTCAAGTATCTACTTCAGTTTTGTCCATAACTAGAGATTGCAGACAACCTATGACTATTTCCACTTACACAGATAAAAATCAGGATTTTTTCCTCTATACTATACCAAACAAAATCAGATATAAATTGGACACTGAGATAGCTCACAACTAACCCATTTGCACTAGTCAAAAATGCTCCCCCCACCACCCTTGCCACCCCACTAGTTTAAGACATGACTTGAACTTAGTTCATGCTAGTAACACTTTTTATGTACATGAAAGGTTTAAAAGAAAAACAAAAATACTGCATTACAATATCAAAGCCTTTTGATTTGGGTTACCAGGGAGAGGAGGGCTCACAGTTTAAGCCTTCTGGTAGTGACTACTAAGCTCTTTTCCAAGATTTCTGGTTTGGCTAACTCAAAGAGAACCAGGTTAGAGTAACTATTTATCTAAGGCTGCTTTCTGGAAACCCAAGAGCACTGAGGGGAAGGGGGCAGGAGAGAATGTTTCTTATTCAAATTCTTCTGTTTATTCACTGGTAACCGTGGATGAATCTTTGCTGCTCCCTGAAACTTGGTTTTCTCAACAAAGTATCACAAACTCAAAATGGATTAAAGACCTAAATGTAAGACCGGATACTATAGAGGAAAACAGGTAGAATACACTGACATAAATTGCATCAATATCTTTTTCAATCCATCTCCCAGAGTAATGGAAATAAAAACAAAAATAAACAAACGGGACCTAATTAAACTCAAAAGCTTTTACACAACAAAGGAAACCACAAACAAAACAAAAAGATAACCCAAAGAATGGGAGAAAATATTTGCGACTGACAAGGAATTAGTCTCCAAAATATACAAACAGCTCATGCAGCTCAATGTCAAAAAAAAAAAAAGCAAACAACCCAATCAAAAAATAGGCAGAAGACCTAAACAGACATGTCTCCAAGAAGACATACAGATGGCCAAACAGCACATGGATAGGTGCTCAACACTGCTAATTATTAGAGAAATGCAAATCAAAACTACAATGAGATATCACCTCACACTGGACAGAATGGCCATCATCAAAAAATCTACAAACAATAAATGATGGAGAGGGTGTTGGTGGGAATATACATTGGTACAGCCACTATGGAGAACAGTATGGAGGTTCCTTAAACTAATAACAGCTACCACATGATCTAGCAATCCCACTCCTGGGCTTATATCCAGAGAAAAACATGGTTTGAAAGGATACAGGCACCCCAGTGTTCGTTGCAGCACTGTTTACAATAGCCAAGACATGGAAGCAACCTGAATGTCCATCGACTGATGAGTGGATAAAGAAGATGTGGTACAACAGAATGTTAGTCAATTAAAAAGAATGAAATGATGCCATTTGCAGCAACATAGATGATGGGCCTGGAGATTATCATACTAGGTGAAGTAAGTCAGAGAAAGACAAATATGTGGAATCTAAAAAAAAGATACAAATGAACTTATTTACAAAACAAACAGTTTCACAGACTTAGAGAATGAACTTGGGGGAAGGGTGGCGGGGGAGGATAGATTGGGAGTTTGGGATTCAGATGTACACACCGCTATATTTAAAACAGATAACCAACAAGGGCTTACTGTAAAAAATAAAAAATTAAATTTAAAAAAATCAGGAGGTTGGATTAAATCAATGATTTCAGACATTCATTTTAATCATCGGAGCCTTTCTTCAAATCACATCACATCTTACTTGGAAGCCTAATACTGAATGGGACAGAAGGCTCGCTCCCCACAGAACAGCATGAAAACCACAAAACTACACTATCTAAGGTCCCTCCCCACTACCTCTAATACCAGGATTTCAAGTCCCAGGCCTCTGAAACACAGATGCTGACTCCTGCTGCCCCCTCCTGGCCAGGCCTCTCCCTGTCTCTTGAACAGACTAAGGAGTGGAGCTGTTTTATCCCATGCACCTAAAACACTGGTCACAAGACTGACTAGAGAACCACAGTGGCAAGGGGCCGAACAACTGTTTGTGGGTGAAAACGACATTTACTTAGTTTACGTGGTCACAGAGGCTATAGCAGAATCAATGCTGTTACAATAGTGGGCACTACTGTCAGCAGCAACACGACGTTTTTAACCAGAATCCGAGCCTCATGGGTTCAGTTTGCATTTAAAAAAAAAAAAAAAAACCCAGTCAGGAAGAGTGAAAGGTCAATTTTGAATGCCAGTGTAAAACAAATTTCACTGAAAATACAACTGAAATGCAACTGCTATGAGCACTATAAGAGAAGCTAAGAACTTCGATACGATAAAAAAGTGGTAAATAAAATACAACAGCAGCATTAAAAAACTTTGTCATTCCTACTTCAGAGGGTACCCCTTCCCTTTCCTCCTCATGCCTCCGACAACTGCCTAGTCTGGAAGAGCCCTGTTCAACCAGGGAGGGAGCTGGTATCTGCACAAATGTGCAGCAGATGAACTCCACACAAGGGAGAGGACCAAGGTGTAAGTGTGGTTGTGTACCGGGGGCAGGGAGACTCCTGTTTAAGAGTCAGAGGCTTAGGAGCGTAGCCACCTACTCCTGCTAGATGCCTCTCACACATTCTGGTCCTGCCCTCCAGACATCTCATCAGTAACCTCGACTTTGAACAAATGTTCTTAGAAAATGTGACTAGAAATTAAACAGCTGGGACTCCTGCCATATTTTCCAAACTCCAAATGGAGACTCAAGTCATTTTGCTCCACAGTCCAGGTCCATTTTCACTCATTGTTAGCCCTACCCTCAGCTAATGCAGTCGGGTGGGTACAGCTGCAGCCCTGGAGACAGATCACTTGAACAGGTACCAGCAAAATGAAAAGTCCTGCAATAGCACCTTCAAAGCAGCCCTTGTTCTTAAGACATCAGCAGAGGTCATGGCTACAGTTAACGATCTCCCAGCCTCATGTGCAGTGGCCAAGTATATCAGCTGTCTCAAGGACAGTGGCCTGAAACCATATTCTAGGGTTTATCCTCAATTCCCATTTTGATATTTTTTAATAGCTGGAAATTAACAAATGCTCTGCGGCAGCATTTTGTTCATTCCCCTTTAAATCCGCCACAGTACCTTTTTAATTCTTAGAATATTATTCTCTGCTAACATAGAAATGAACAATGAGCATATTAGCAAAATAAAAATTTTCTGTACACCTTTACTAGGAAGTCTCAGTGGATTAAGGCAGTCCTATCATTTTTTGGACTGGGATTAAGGACACCGAAGTACAGAAAGAGGGGAAAAATTCAGAGATGAAGAGGACATCCTGGCATCTCAAGGTCACCGTTAGTACTCCACTGCTTAGACCAAATACCTCCATGTGACAGCCTGAAGAAATCTGACTGTGTCCTCGGATAACAGCTTTTCTTCACATATTGCCCTCTTCCACAGGGCAGTTCTTTGCCTTGACTCGCACTGTGCAGGTCTCACCAGCACCGGGCTCTTCATCTTCCGCAACGCCAGTAACTCCGCCTCTATGGACCCAACAGCGTTGCTAGATCCTACAAGTGTTTTTAACTTGCCGAGGGCTAAGCATTATCCCCCACGCACAACAGGAGCTCTGTGTAGACACACATTGGCTGACACAACTCAGGTTTTTACAAATTGGTCTGAGCACAGACTTGGCTCCCAGATGGACTGAAGGGAGCTGAAGTGGCACCTTCTCCTCCCAGAGAACAAGTTAGTTCTCAAACACCTGCCAGATGGCACACACAGCTCTCAGACTGGAACCAACTAAGCTGTTTTTAAGTGCGTGTGTACTTTAGGAAGTGAGTACATCCGGAAAGTGACCTTGGAAGGCTCTCTGGTAGCTCAGAGCAGGTCACTCATCAGAGCCCCCAACTCACCACAGATGTGAGGCTGGCAACCCCAGAGCTGGGCGTTACTCAGTACCTACCTTCCCTCACGAAGAACTGCATAACGTTACGTCCCCCACAGGCCCACGGGATGGGAAGCGTGCCCAAGAGTGACACAGGAAAGAAAATCCACCTCCGCGAAGAACAAGAACTAGTCCGGAAGTGACTAGAAACTACGGCCTCCTCGGCTGGTTGCAGATCTAAGGAGCAGAGGTTCCTCCCTCTGTGTGGGAGGAGGAAGGAGACCTCTAGTTAGGCACACAATCCACTCATCCAATTCAGTTTCTGCCCAAGGTCTCTCTGCCCACCCGTAATTCTCTCATCCAAGACAGGCAGAGCAGAAGGACTTTCTAGCCACCCTCCCCGCAAAACCTCCTTTCAGTCTCCACTGCACGCATGCCTCAGTTCTTACCTGCTGCTACATGTGCAGCTGTTGCTCCTCGCATGGGGTTAAGGGGCCAGAGCACTGGCTAAAATCAAAGCAACAGCAAAAAAAAAAAAAAAAAACGAGCCTGGAGGACAGAGGTAGTTTTAATTACTGTTGACACTCAGTTCTTCAGATAAGGAAGAACAGCTGATTGTTAATGTTAAGATATCAGACTGCTTTGCCTTTTTAGCTTTGGAGATGTTAGTGGCAAAAACCATCGAGGAAATGTGTTGCAGTGTGTGGGTATTGTGGTGCGGCTCCTTGCCAAGGTCCAGAGTTTAAAAGAAATCAGTAGTTTTCCTTTGCCAAAGTCAACTTTCTCAGCAGCACCTCAAATTGCTTCTGTGTAAGAGGGAAATGGGGTGAAGGGGAATAAACCACAGGGAAAAAGAATTAGAACGTGTTAGCAAATGCTACCATGCGGAACACTAAACTTTATTCACTTTATTTATATATTTAACAGTTCTAAAGTATTTACTTCTTGCTTTGACAAAAAATGAAAAATATAGGAGCACTGACCAACTCCTCTTTAGGAGAAAAGGGTTATATATACAGCTACGGAGAGTTATGGTTCCTCCTTTACATACAAAGAAAAATATTAATAAAAAAGTGCTTCATTGATCAAAAAAGGGCTAAGAGCTGCAAGCATTTATTCACACTGTACATCAGACCCAAGAAACCCGTATCGTAACCTCTTGGCACCTGTCACTAGGACCTGCACAATCTTCAGTTAGACTGACTTCTCCCTACCTGCAAGGCCAGACCACACAGAGTGCGAAGAACTTACACCCTGTTTCACTAAATTCAGATTCTGAGCAACCTCCTGCCACTGGGAAGTCAGACGCACTCAGACGCTCTTGGCTTTGCCTGGACTGACAGCTCCAGGGAAGGCTTCTGGGCCACGTCTTATCTACACCCAGGCACACACAGGAGCCACCTTCCTGAGAGACAACTTGCCTTTAGCCAGGGAATTGCTTCCAAAGGGTAAGGAAAGTTCCCAGGCCTCACCCCCACTGCCCACCACAATCCGCCCTGTTACCAGTTAGCAGCTTTTAGCAGAGCCAAGCATGGCCCTTCCCCCGAGAGGGAGGGCAGGCACAAAACATGGATGCCAAGATCACAAAGCACAAACCTAAACTCCTCTCCACTCTTCTCCATACCCACCTCCACCACAAATATTCTTGATTTAAGGCTCTTTTTGGACCCTATCGAAGCTTACTAAGGAAAGGTGCCTTGCATCTCCTATGGGCTTTGTCACTTCTCTAAGGAGCCCTGCAGAGTCACCAAGTGGCCCCTCACTGCTGACCAGCAGCACAGGAGCAGGGCAGTGGGACCGCTGGGCCCTTCCCACTGCTCCAAGAAGGGGAGGCGGAGGAAGGCTGAGTCTATGGGACATGCTCCCTTCTCCAGACACTGCACTCTGAAAGGCTGATTCTACCCCTAAAGGGGGAGATCCATGATTGGTTTGGGAGTGGGGAATTTTTGGAACCCTGAGTCTGGATTTCCGTGTGCTAGACGAGGAAGAGAGATTGTTTGGGGGACCAGGCCCCAGAAGGGGCTTCCAGGCTCAGGGCATACTTTGGCCTTGACCATGGCAGCAGGATACTGCACTCTGGCCAGTCTGCACCCTATGCCTGAGGGTGGGAAGCGCCACACAGCCTGGCTGAGGGGGGGCAGACTGTTGACAGTGAGGGGAGCCCTAGACAATCTGGGTCAAGTTAAAAAGAGAATCCCATGGGGGAGAATAGCCAGCCACCCATTCCCAGCCCTCTCCCTGCTTCACGAGTGTACCCCTTCTTTACCTAAACGGGGTGGGAGCGCCTAAGGGGTCCCACTTACTATGTGCCTGTGCCCCTCTCTCCAAACCCCAATCCCATTTATCTGCCTGTGGGATGGGACTAGCCCAGTCCCTCTTGGAAGGGAGAGGGCACCTGGGGCACTGCTCTTAGAGCAGATGCTTTCGGCGTCCTCAGCAGCAAAGGTTTTTCCAATCCGATCAGCTCTGATGTGGCAGTGATACGAGGAATGGTCACAAACGTCAGCATTGGCTTTATTCGCTGCTCTCTATCTCAGGCCTCCACTCCTGACTCAACCAGCCTCCTCCCATCCTGAGGAACTAAGCCACCCCTCAGCATTGCCTGACAGCAGGCAGCTCAACAGTTACAGGGGGCCTGGCAACCTCTGGTCTTCCATCCAAAAAAAAAAAAAAAAAAAAGACAAATAGGGTACTTGTCTCATTTTTGGAGGCAGAGGGAGGATAGAAAATGGAGAGGAAAACAAATGCGGGGGTGGGTTGGGGAGGGAGAGATCAATCTACAATCCAGTGGTGCAGCCCAAACTTCCATCACTCTGCACAGTTGGTTCCACGTCCCCATTCCAAAGTGCACGGGCCTCTCAGTCTGCCCAGGCTGTTGTGGGCCTGTCAGAGGAACAGCAGCTTGGCCTCTGCCCGCCCCAGGTCACTGAGCTTCAGTTTGAAGTGGCTGCAATGGGCTTATCCAGTTCAAGGTCAATGCTGGAGCTTGTGGGATGCAGGCTGCTATAACAAGACTTGCACACTCGACTAGGTTCAAAGAGCTGTTGGCTGGGAACTGGAACCTTCTGGTTACAACAACTGGAGCAGAATACGTTCCCACAATTCCTTGAGATGAGCAGAAACAAAAACAGCATTAGTGTCAGCAGACACAGGGTGGAGAAACCAACTTCAGAAGACAGCGCTTCTCTGTACACGATTCAGATATGCCGGAGACTCCTCTAATACCAAACACTCTCATTTGTCTAAACCCACAAAGAAGCCAGAGAGGGAGGGGACCGCTCCCTAGCACAATCGCACACCACTTTCACTTTAGGGCCAAGGACCCTGGCTGCCTCACCACTATGGCTCAAGGTTACAAGGTGTCAGGTAGATGCTGCTCAAGAGAGATCCATGAAAACAAATGAGCCCAGGGCAGAAGGCAGCTGCTAGCTCAATGGCCACGTCTTGGCCCAGGAAAACCCCGTGGCCACACCCACCTGGGCAATGGCCTCTGTGTAGCTTATGATCACAGAGAGGCCAGAGTCCAATGGAACTGCCTCTGAGCTAATCAGATGACAGAAACTCCCAGCCCAGCTGGGGAGTGAGGAGCCTTGCCCAAAGGCTCAGAGGCAACAACAGGAAGAATTGACTGCTGCCATCCAGGACTGCTTTTGCTGCCAGCATGCGAAGCCAGGAGACAAGCAACCAGTGACACATGCTCAGGGTGAAAAGACAAGAGCACAGGTGAACACAGGTGCACACACACACCCTATTAGACAACGATGAGTTGACACTGGGTCACTCCCCTGCCCCCATGCATCTCCAGGGAATATCAGCTCTACCTGAAGGCCTGACTGCACCCAGGTCCCTAGCCTCTCTCCACTCCTCCACTTGAAAGCCCAGCTCTGATGCGCCTGTGCAGCAAAGGTCTGTGCACCCAAACTGATGCCCTTCACAACTACCAGGAAAGGGAACTGGCAGAGGATGAGTTTCTGTTCACCTTACAACCCCAACCCACTCTGGGGAGGCCCTAGAATAGGAGACTCCGAAGAGTCTAATGCAGCCTGCCAAAGACTTGGGGCAAGCATCTAAAAGGAAATCCTCCTCCTTAGCCAGTATCACTCACTACCTTTTCATTTATGCTCCTCAGAAAGGAAACCCACTGCTGGATTAAGGATCACTTAAGCACAGAAGACAGAATACTGAATACCCTTTGGCAACAAAATACCACTGCAAAAGGAAAAGGCTAGACAAGGAGCAATGGAAAGACAGAACTAAAACAAACAAAAGACTTCATCTTCTGGAATGCAGTGAGTACTTCACAACTCTGTTTCTGAAAAGCATGAGTCAGCAACAACTGTGGTTACAGAGAAACATTACCTAAATCTACTTCTGGATGTGTACATTTATTTAACATACCTTCTGGAATTCAGCTTAAAGGCCTGACATGTATTTGATGAGTTAAGCTTTTCTATCTGACTTCTTTCAGGGGATCCTGATAGACCCTAAGTGGAGTTTTCCCTTAAGTCTTCAATGCTAACAGTTCTCCGGAAAGACCACCTCTGTTCAGTCCTGGGCTTTTTTTTTTTTTCCTTAAAAAAAAAGTCATGCTGTTTGACTTGAAAGTCACCGGCATCATTCTGGCATCTAAGTGAATGACTGACCCAAAAGAAATAGCTCTAAAACCCCTCAACTGGCTATTCCACAAGACCAGCGCCTGCTGAAGCACCGCTTCTTGCCATAAGCAAGATGGCTCGGCTGACCTATGCAGTCAGCAGGGGCAACCACGGCTGCAACCTGCAGCCAGCTGCTGTGGTCCCCCCACCCCACCCAAGCCCACCTGCTTGCCTGCCTGCACTCCTGCCCCAAAGCTTCATCCCAATGAGTGCAGAGAGGGGGAAATGGTAGCGTTAGTGTGGAGAAGTTACTGTAGGTGTGCAGAAATCACAGACAGGTTGTTGCAAATGCTCACCACGTTTGATCAACACGGTCAATGTCCCTGCAAGGAGGGGAGAAAGAACTCAGAGAAGAAGCCAACTAAAGACATTTGGGCTTGGGGTGAGCATGGGGAGAGATACAGTCCTAGAAGCATCATCACCAGACAAAGGTGGTTCCATTTTCAATCCAGGTCCATTCATGTGGGTGGGCTATGTCACAGTTCAGATAAAATTCCTACCCCAAGTAACACTGAATATCCTCCAGTCACCACCCCAGCTGGGGCAAAGCATCCCTAACCACTCACTACCCCAACCCAGAAGGAAGAAAGAAGTCAGGAGCCTTATGGATTGAGGACTATACCCTAAGCTATTCCCACTAGTCCTCCAACCAATAAGTATGCGGTCAGGGAGAGAGGGTAAGGAGTAGGAAAACGAAGTTCTCTGCCCACAGCAGGAAAACTGTCTTTGCTCACAGCATTCGTGCTGAATGGGAAGAAATTGTATTCTAGGAATAAGAAATGGCGGTGTGGGTGGTGGTAGCAGTTGCTTCATCAATCCAGGAAGCAAAATAAAAAAGGGACATCATTTTCAAAACTTACTCACGATCACTCTAAAATGGAAGAAAGACACCCAGTGCAGTTCTGCAAACACCAATTTCAGAGGCACAAAAGGTGAGTCAGGGTCCTGAAGACCCTGGGGTCTGCCTCAGAACACTGCCAGCCAGCTGCCTGCATCTTTCAAATCTGCAGGCTCTGTGGACCAAACCTCAGCCTCTACACCCCCAACCACCCCACCACACCCTCCCAGTGGCACCTGCAGTGGTGCTTCCTGCTGGCAAGCCAGAAGGCGCTGTCGCATGCATAGCAGTGGGCGGCCAGGTGGTCAGGGAGCCAACGGGTCATCTGTAAAACGGATGAGGCCAGGTTAGTGACAGGAGATGGGCCATCCAGCCGGAGCCAACAGAGCCATGCTGGGGGCAGCAGGAGTCACAAGGACCACACTGGCTCCAGTGGCACCAGCCCATCAGGTCTGATGTCAGCAGTACAAGAAAGGCGTCCAAATCGTTTCCCTGGAGGGGACTCCAAACTCCCCTGAGATCAAGTGGCAGGCAATAGCACCCTGGGTCGCTATGAGAGCTGGCAAGGCTCCAGTTCATAGAGGCAATGAGGAGAGAGGGCTGGCCTGCTGCATCTCCCTTGCTGAGAAATTCTAGGCTTGATGGGAATTCATAGATGCTGAGATTCAGAGAGGCTCAAGGCTAAGTGTGCTGTGTGGTCATTCCTTAGCCAGGGGCAGGGGGAATGGATGATGGGGGTAGAGAAGAACTGCAGAACAGTTGCATGGGTGGCACTCAGAACAGGGGCTGAGCCTGTACCTCCGTGTCCTGTTTATCCACCTGCTCCCAGCTGGCTTCAGAGAAAATCTCTGTGCTGCAGCGAGACAAACAGTTCTGATCCAGAATGCTTTCCGAGTCAGGAATTGAAGTCTGTTGGCAAACAAACACAGCTGAACAGAATGAACCTGGTCTCCTCCCAGAAGAAGAAAGGGCTTGGCAAAGAAGGGAGCACTGGGGACTTTGGGCGGGCCTGGGTGTTAGGGCTGCTGAATCTCTAGGTGCCTTAGCCATCAAGAATTGGGTTGAGCAGGTTCAGAGACAGGGCTGAGCTCAGCTAGAAGAGAGATACACACATCTAAGGTTATGTGCAGGGATTCTGGAGTGGAAAGACAGGCCTCGGGTTCCAGGAAGTGAGTAGGGCAGAAGTGACCAGGATGAAGTGGGAACTCAGTGTCAGCTGCTTCAGGGGGCCTGTCAGTCCAACCCTGCCACTTACATGTGTGTGTTGAAACTGAGTGCTTTGGGCATGTCCTTTCTCTGAAGGACTCTGGGAAAATGAGAAACCATCATTAGTATAAAGGAAAAACCACGTCAGTTTGAAGTGAAAGTCATTGGACGAGCCCGCCTTTAATGTACGCTGACTGCTTCAGAGCCAGACTCACACTTGTCCTTAATCACGTCGAGACTGCCTCCTTGAGAACCTCCCCTCAGGTACCACCACTCCGGTCACCAGGCTCCATCAGTGCTAACTCCCAACAGTGATACCTCTCCCCATTTCTACTGCCATCACCTGCCACAAGGTAGGTACAAATACCTGTTTAAAAAGAACTAAACTTTCACAGCTACAGCCCATGTTATGGTTGGGGGGGTGGTGGGGTGCAGCAGCTAATTGTTCACTAGCTACTGGGGTAGGACAGGCACTATGATTTCACAGGAATATTTGACATTGCCCTACAAATATTATTCTGCCCGGAGTTCACGCTTTTCGGCATGATCCTCTCTCCGAAGAGAACTGACCAACCACATAGTGTGTGCTCACTCTCTTCCTAATTCTGTCTAGACAGGATACCTGTGGAAAGTAAGCAAGACAGGAAAGAAAAAGAACACTGCCAATCACCTTGCTGAGGCTGATCTCCAGCCTCTCTCAATTCTGGAACTTTCCAGTTCTTTCAGAAATCTGTACAAAGGGCGCCCCGGCTCAGTGTGCCCTGTCTCCTTGTGCAGCTGTGGAGGCACCATGGTGTACTTACCACTTCATCCCCAAAGTCCCCATTGAAGCGTAGGGAGCTGGTCAGGTACTGGCTCTCCAGGCGACTCCTCAGCTCCTGGACTTGTTTCTTCAAGGTCTCCACTTCCTGCTGGTGGCCCGACTCAATCTGACGCAGGCGCTGTTGGATAGTGTCCGTGTACAGAGGCATGCCGTCATCGTCCAGGTGGCTGCGGGAAGGCTGGTCAGGGCTGCCAGTTGCAGACGCCCTCCCCGAGTGGCTGTGCAGCCACTTGTGATGCAAGTTCCTCGAGTGTAAGTGGGCAGAGCTGCAGCTTGTGGCAGACAGCTGGCGGCTCAGTGAGTCCTTGCTCCTACCAGTCTCCCCATTGGCGCAGTGCCCATTGGGGGTAGGGTACTTCTGGAGGGTACTATGCCCTGGGAGCTGCTCTGAGGCCTTATTTTCAGTCTCTGGAGCACCATTGCACACAAGCCCCTCTTTACATTCAGCTAAAGGCAAGGCACAAGGAGAATGCGCTGGGCTCTGGGTGCTGCTGGGGGAAGTCCTATACACCAGAGATCCCACTTGGGGCCTCTCAGCCAGGCTCCTCTCTGAAGGCCTGGGCTCCATGGCTTGAGGAAGCTCCTCCTTGCCACTGAACCTGCCACTGCTTACCCTGGCAGGTAAGCAAGGTCTATCATGGCCTTGGGGACCACTTTCTGACTTCACTTTATCTTCCACTAACATGTCCATGGAACTATCTGCATTTGGTCCTCTGGTCTCAAATGAAACTTGGGAGGGCAGAGAACTTGACTGTGAGGTACCAAAGCCAACTTTCACATCTACTGATATTGGAAGGACTGCCTCCTCCCTGTCCTGTGTGATAGCTCCTATTCGAGACTGTTCCACAGGGACCTCCTGGGCATCCTCTCCCGGGGGGGGCTCCTGGAGAGAACTGGGGAGAATACTGTGCCCACCCTGCTGCTCAAGAATACCCTGTGAGAGCACAAGAAGGCTGGTGCCTGGATGGTGGCTCCTTAGAGCAGCATCACCCAGTTCTGGCTCTTGATGAAGCACAATGGCTGGGCACTCAGGGGTCTTCCCCCTGCTCCCCTCTTCTAAAAGAGCCTCCTCTTTGACCTCCTGCATCTCCCTGTGGGCAGGCTCCTCTACCCCACTCTCCTCTTTGGTGGCCTCTTGCAGGATATTCTCCATCTGCCCCTCAGCTACTCCAGCTGCAACAGACAGCTCGGCGCCACCCAGCACTTTGGCTGGCTTCCCCAGGCTGTCAGGATCCAGAAGCTCCTCTCCAGGACCAGCCAGAGTGCTCAGTTCCAGCGAGCGACGGTGCTCCTGCCACTTCTCATTCAGGCTTGGGTCACTGCTGCGCCGGCTGGCTAGAGGCACTGTGTTCTCGCAGGCGGTGGTCAGATTGTCAAATGATCTAGTCTTTGGTAGCCTAAAGGAAGGAGTTTGGGGGAAATGAGAATATGAGGTTGTTCACAGGGAAGTAGGAGACAACAGGTTTTAACAGGCAGTCATTTCATAAATGGCTCCATTACGGCTACTCAAGGAGCCATGGCGCATCTGGAGTAAGGCTCAGACTGCAGAAAGGCAGAGCTCCAGGATGAGTACTTCTATTCCTCTGGCACCATCCCCACCCCATGCCCAACACATACAAATAAGCTAACAGCAAACGCTATTTTAAAAAGATATTCTTCATGATACTGCTATGTTTCTCAATTAGTGGCAGAGGAAAGTAGCACTGCTGATCTTCTGATATTACAATATTTTAAATTATTATTCATCAGTCTGAATTCAATAAAGCTAATTCATAGGTCTCAAAGCCAGACTGTCTATCATCTGATGGCATCTGCCTTTCAAGCCCAGGACAGCAAGTCACAGCAGGGAGGCAGGAGCACAGAGCAGTCAGCCAGAGGGTCACAAGGAACCCAGAGGATATGCTCCATCACTGAGAAACTGCTCCTCAGAGATCTAAGAAAGATGTGTGGAACCAAATAATGTCATGATCTCCAACCATCCCTGGATGCATCCCAACACAGGAGTACACCCACAAAGGACCTGCAGTCTTGGCATCAGCCCCAGGCTCACCGACTCAGAGGTGTATCATCAGGGCTGGTGCCAGGGGCTGGGTATGGTGCACAGCTGTCGTCCACAGGGGTGGACGGGGATGGGCAGGGCAGGTACACTGCACTCCACAGCATCAGGTTACGCACGTGGCACACAGGGTACAGCACCTGAAGAGAGAGCGGTGGGCACAGGTTTAAACAACTTCCAACAAGTCTGTTAGAAATGTCTAGAAATGAGGGTGAAGAAGCAAGCACCAAGCAGGAACGCCCAGCAGTCCTGCACAATCTCCAAAGGGCATTAGCATGAGTAGATGCAGCTCTATCACAGGGGGTGGTGGGTAGACGGGACATTTTTCACCTGACAGCCTCTGTGGGAATGAAAATCTAAAAAAAATTCTTTAAATCCATTTCTAATTAGTTGTTTCTTAGGTCACCTTTATTGAATGACTGGCTTTTCTCAACCTAATTTGTTGCTTTTACCACACAAGAAAATGAATCATTCTGCTAGATGGTTGATAGTTCCCTAGTACAAAAGCTTGGCTTCAGAACACATTGTCAAACCTGTTTTATAGGATCATCTAAATTAATCAAGTGAAAAGGAGGGAATTTTCTTCTGTACTGTTACTTCCCCAGCAGGCACAGGAGAGAGAAGCAGCTAGCTTCAATCTTTCCTTGGACTACTTAACTGTAGGAAGAGCTTTATTAATTAATAGTCCAGCAAATCAGTATAACCTCTGATTAGCTTCCTTGTGACTTTAGAATTTAAGATGCATTCTGACAAAAGGAACATTACTGTGTACATTACTGTGTACCAATGCACAGATATAAGTGCCTCCTTTTCTCTGCTTAACAGAAAGTGTTCCTTTGAGGAACAAAGTCTTTTTTTTTTTTTTTGGCGGTACTCGGGCCTCTCACTGTTGTGGCCTCTCCGGCTGCGAAGCACAGGCTCCGGACGCGCAGGCTCAGCGGCCATGGCTCACGGGCCCAGCCGCTCCGCGGCATGTGGGATCTTCCCAGACCGGGGCACGAACCCGTGTCCCCTGCATCGGCAGGCGGACTCTCAACCACTGCGCCACCAGGGAAGCCCCTTTGAGGAACAAAGTCTTAAAGGGCCTGCCAGTTCTCCATGTGAGCAGAGGATCACACAGACACACTGCTAGTGTCACAAACAGTTTTCTGCTGAGACAGATGCTGTAATGGGGTATCATTGCCTGTTGACACTGGAAGGGTGCTAGGAGCCTGCAGCTCCTTCTGAGCTATCAGGGGCATCCAGGGAACAACTTAAGTGCCTCCTCCACCTGTTAGAACATGCTAGAAATAAGCTCTGGCGGAGGTGCCAGAAAAGATTCATGTCTAGAGTGGCAAAGTAGAGATGTTTGCTAAATCAAACCACCCTGAACAAAGAGCAGTCAGAAGCAGGGCAGAATAACCAGAAAACAGGCCTTTCTCAGGACAAAGTGGTTGGGAAAAAATGGAACTACTCCATCCAGAGACAACTGAGATGCCTTCGAGAAAACAGTCACTTCTCAAAAAAGATCCCATATGTCCCCATCCCCAAATTCATTCTGCTGATGAGGGAGAAAAGACTAAAGAATACATACGGCTTCTGACTGAGAGGAATACAGTAGGTTTTTGAAAGCCTTGTTGCCCGCCCGAAGCAGCGACCACACAGAACACGTCCGTTCCTGAGTATGTTTTTCCCCTCTCTCCTTGGCGTTGTTGCACAGGAATGTTCCAAACAGGCAGGAATAGGTATGCTGCACCAGTTTCACCTATGGGAGTCCAATATGAGGCAAAATCAAACAATGGGTACGCATTTTCTGGGGGAAGGTCAGCCCAGCTAAGCCACCTTCCCCAACACCCCTGATGTGCACTTCAGTTCACGCTTGGTAAGGATGGGGGACCCAAGTAAGCCACCCAATCGCAGACTCCTCATAACCCCAGCCACCATCACTCCTGAGTCAAAACGGCAAAGACAGGGTGTTGGCACCCCCATCCTCTTGGCCTCCCTTGTAAACAGTCTCCAAGGTCCCAAGTTAACAGCTACCCATATAAACTGGGCATAGGAGCAGGTCAGTGTGCAACCCAAGTCTGAACTTCTAAACAGCTTTTCATTCAGCAAGTTGCTACTGAGCATCTCACATACCCCAAATGTTTCTGTGGGTGCTGGACAGGCAACAGTGAGAAGACAGCTCTCCTGACCTGGTAGAGCTCGCTCTGGCTGTGGAGGGAGGGGTGACCAGTGCTATGGACAACAATAAGGCAGGGTAAGAGGGCCAGAGCACATGCAGGGCAGTGTGAGAAGGCTCACTGGCCTCTAGAAACCTGATGGAAATGAGAGAGCAGATCATACCAGCCAGGGGTGGGAGAGGAGGCTGCTCCAGGCACAATGGCCTTGAGGTGAGCACAGGATTGCAACTTCTGAGGAACTGACAGACATTGCATGAGGCAGAGGATGGGAGGAAATGAGCCTGGACAGGCTTGCAGGCCATTTTAAGGACTGTGGAGAGAGCCTTGGAGGCCTTGCAGAAGGGCCTCGCAGGCCATGTTAAGGACTGTGACTTTTATTCTGTGTCAAAAGCAGAGTCATTGGAGGTTTCTTGACAGAGGAATGATACGGTCTGTATCATGTTTTAGAAGGATTCCTCAGGCTGCTAGACTGACTCGGGAATTGGGGCAGGAGATGTGGTGGCTTAGACTAGTGTTGGGAACAGCACAGGTAGCAATAAGTTATCAGGTTTTAGATATATTTTTAAAGCAGAGCTGCAGAATCTGCTGACAGACTGAATATGGAATATGAAAGAAAGGAGAGTTGAGGATGACATAAAAGTTTTTGCCCTAAATGAATCGAAGGTTTGAGTTGCCATTTGGTGAGATGGAAGACTTCTGGAAGATAAGTTTTAGGGTGGAGACATGGAAATCAAGAACTGAGTTCTGAACATGTTAAGTCTGAAATACCATTAAGACATCCAAGTGGAGATACTGAGTAGTCACAAGTGGATGAGAGCCTGGAGTTAAGTGGAGAGAGAGATCTGAGCTGAAGACGTATACATGTGGGAATCACAGAGAGCAATTAAAGCCAACAAACTGGATGAAATCCCTAGAGAAGGAGGCTGAGCCCTGGGGCACTCCCAGCATTCACGAGTGGGGAGGGAAGGAGGAACCAGCAAAGGAGACAGAAAGGACCAGTTGGTGAAACGGAGAACTAAGACTGTGTGCTGGAAGTCAACTGAAGAAAGTGTTTCAAGAAAGGAGTGATTAAATTGTGCCAAATTTTAATGATGGATCAAAGAAGATGAAGGCAGTCAAAAGGTACAAACTTCCAGTTATAAAATAAGTAAATCGTGGGATGTGATGTACAGCAGGGTGACTGTAAGTTAGGAATACTGTACTGTATATTTGAAAGTTGCCAGGAGAGGACATCTTAAAAGTTCTCATCACAAGAAAAAAACTTCATAACTATGTATGGTAACAGATGTTAACCAGAATTTTGTGGTAATCTTTTAGCAATATATACAAATATCAAATCACTGTTGTACACCTGAAACTAATATAATGTTATCTATCACTTATACTGCAATTAAAAAAAAGAAGGGTGATTGAAAACTGATCACTGGATTAGAAATGTGAAGGTCACTGGTGACCTTAACAAGAGCAGCTCTGGTAAAGTGGTGGAGTGAACACCTGACTGGGCCAGGTTTAAAAGAGAATGGGAGGAGAAGCGTTTGAGAGAGTAAATGTCAAGACTTGAGGAGCTCTGCTGTGAAGAAATGAGATATGAAAAATGAGGTAATAGCTAGAGGGGGATGCAGGACCCAGAAACGGTTTTGATGAAATAGGAGGCACTATACCATGCTTGTATGCTGATGGCAGTGATCTGGTGAAAAGGAAAATAGGCTGATGCACAGGGCAGGGAGGAGGAATGCTGAAGCCATGAAGCTGAGCAAAGGAGGGGGGTGGAAGCTGGTGCACAAGTGGAGGAGGGGCTGGAAGAGGGCAAGGATAGTACATCCTCCTTCAAAGGACAGGGAGCAGAGAGTGTGGAACAGACACAGGGGGGTTGGTAGATGGACTGGAGGGAGCAGATGAAAATCTATTGCTTCTATTTCTAACTACTGTTTAGTGCTTTTATCATCCATTTTAAAAGTTATGTTTAGAAGAACTCAAAGTTTATGTAAACTTAGTACACATGGATTCACTAAATAAACAAACACCTGTTTATTACTATTGTTTTTTAATTAAAAATGGAAGAATGACCCCTCAAATTCTAGAAAGGATGCAGTTTCATGTGAAAACTGGCCCACTAACATTTGCATTGATACCCCTATGAATTTAGAAGGTTCCCAAAACGAAGAATCACAAGCCCAAACTCACAAGGAATGCTTCATTGAACTCAAAAGAGCACGGAAATTGCCTCTGAAGCTGATGAACACAGTCCAGCCACTGTAAAAACACTGGGCAACGCTCGTTCAGATCATCCGAGTTCTCCCCATGACCACACCGGTCAGCAAACTTGTGGCCAAAATCCAGCCACTCCATCTCCACGAGGACCTGGAAACCCTGCGGGGAAGCACCCAGGAGAGACCCATTTGTGCTTGTCTATCCAAACTATAACTGTTCTGAGCCTAATGTCACCAACAGTGATCCCTTTTAACACCTTCCCACTAAGCCCACCAGGAGCCCCTAACCCAGCCCCATGGCCAAAGGATGGGACACAGGCTTAGGGCAGTGTCCCGATTCCCTCAACTCCATTCCATAATCATCAAAAGGGTGGTAACTAAGCATTTATCTAAGTCTTCGTTGAGACTATTTATATTTTTAGCCCTTCATTCACTATAAAAAAGTCATACTTTTTCCCCCCTTAATTTCTTATTTTTTAATTTCTATCTTTCATGGTATACTTACAAAGTCATGTTTGTAAAACCTTTCCCCATCCCAGATTTACATATATTTTAGGGTACCTTTATGGTTTTTCTTATATCTTTAACCCAATAGGTGATTATTTCACAATAGGGTTCTTTCTCCACAGAATATTGTGGTGATATACAGACCCATTACCATAATAAGCATGTCAAGATCCTTCTATAGAAGCCCCACTTTCCTGGGGTATGCAAGTAGATACTCTGCAAAGGAAAACATGTCTGTATTCTCAATACCTGGTTATTCACAATCTACCCCCTTTTAAGAGGCACAAGCACTGTGGTACGTACCACAACAATTTAGCTCAAGATAAAGGAGTAATGATTCAAAACTACAGAAATTTCACTTTCACTGGACCTAGCCACCTCAATCAAAACTGATCATAAAACCCTCCAAGGTTTCCCCCACTCATCCTGAAGTATCAAATCCTACCTCTATGGTGCGGTAATAAGGGTCCAGCAAGAGCTTAGCCAATGCCACAATCTGGGGGGTGCGGTCCCAGCCATCTGAGCAGTGTGCTAGCACTGGTCGTTGATCACGATCCACAGCATGCACTACCAGAAGTGCTGACTTCAGAAGCACAGACAGGTGATGGAGCCATTTTGTACTTTCAAGAGCTGAGAGCCAACTACAAAAAATAAAACAGAAGGGGATAGGAAATGCTGATTTTTATGATATACTGGGTCAAGCCAAATACCAGTCATATTCAAAAGCAATTTCCAAAGACTTTTCCTTCCAAATAAAACACTGCCAAAACAAACAGAAAATCTCTGTGTTTACAAAGCATGTACAAGGATAAGACCCAAGCCCTACCATGCAATAGAGGAGCCTTAGAAATAGGACAGTAATTAACAGGGCCACCTTCTGTTCCAAAAATCTTATAGCTAATTTCCCAGAAAGAATTAATATTTAATATTCTTTAGTCCATAATAGGTATATCTACCCAGTATAAGAAAAGTAGCTCTTCCTGGAATCTTCTCCAAAAAACAACAAAAAAAAACCAAAAAACACAGCCACTCTGAGATGGGAAAGAGAAAATATTTATATTTAATGATCAGCAACTCTGCCCAGCAAGTTCTCAAAAAAAAAAAAAGGTAAAGAAAACTCAAATGTAAGTATGTCTGTAATAAGATACAAGCTAGATGCCACATCCAACAACAGTGCAGACAACATCGCTTACTACCCACACCCCAACACCTACCACTGATCAAGTCTTGAATGTCTATGGATTAAAACTGGATGGGCCCAAACTCACACAAATTAGTACGCCTGTGGCTACACAGCTGCTGGGCTTAGTACAGACTAGATTCAGCAGGGATCTAAAAACCTTTTGAAAGGCCTTCAGGAAGTATCAGATCCCAAGAATGGCCCCTTGGGAATAATCACAAGCTGACCACAAATGGTTTTTGAAATTTCTTGTGCCCTGTCATGAATTCTACTCCCCAACCCCCCAAAAAAGCTCCAATTTCTCCAAAATGTGATCAGATTTGTAGTTAAGACCACAGTCTAGTCCTTCAAACTCTGAGTTTGAGGAGAGAATAAATACTTCTGTCAGGGGACTATGAGAAGGCTTTTGCCAAGACTAGCCTATAAAGGCTTATTAAACCTTGGGGAATTTGGAATAGTCCAAAGAGATGGTCTTTCCAGGCAAACAAACACCAGAATGTACTGCATAAGCAGTGGCTTCACATGGATTTCCTTGTTATACCAACCAGACTCTGACTCCTCAGTGGGCAGACACTGTGTCTCAGGCACAGCTATACCCTCCTTGTGCAGTGCCTAGCACACACTGAAGGTTCCTACTTTTTAAACCGTGGATAAAAATTCTGTCTCAAGACCTTCTATGTCCTACTAAATACCTGAGAAACATTTTTTGCTGGTGGATTGATTATTTATTCTCATTCCTCACACAGTCTTGAAAAAAAATAAAAGATGAGGCTTAGGAGAACAAATACTAATTTATCTCCTGGCCCCTGGAGAAACAGTAAATGAGAACCTGGTTCTCTTGAACCTGACTGAATCATTCTTACATACCACTTGGTGTCGTCCGTCCATGCCTAACACAGAAGCTGCACTGCAAAATCTGCCAACGGAGGAGGGTGTGCTGAGACTCCAGGCTCCCTTGTCCTATTCTCAAAAGCTGAGGTAGCAACCTAAGCATGCCGTAGCCCTCTACGGCCGCAAACAAGTGTCAGGAGGCTCGCTTATAAGCTGGTCCTGCCTCTGCCATAGCTTCTTTTTATCCACAAGGGAAGCTTCAGTACTGCATTATGATTTGCTGCCAAAGACAGACAAAGCGTTTCCTTCTTCCTTTACAACCTCCCTCCTCCTCCCTGACATTCATTTGGACCAAGCAAGGGCTAATTACATCTTCTTGACTCAGAGTTTAAAAAACAGCTTTTTAAGAAAGAATTTTAACTTATGGAAGATATTAGAGATCAGGTAGTACTGACTCTATCCCTTTTATTTTATAGACAGGAAAAACTGATAACCACAGGAATTAAGCCACTGGCCTAAGTCACACAGTCAATTAGTGGCAGATCTCCTGAATCCTCAACCAGGCTCTTTCTATGCCCTCCCCTTCCTTTAGGGAAGAGTACTACTAGCTAGGTTCTGAATATGTATAGCAGATGCAAGTTGCTAATCCCCAAAGCAGGGCAGCGATCTTATTTCTTCTGTCAGCCTTTTCCCCAAGGACAACTGCTTCACCCTCTGGGCTGATTGCAACTGTGATGAATTTAATCATTTGCTACCAGGAGTTAGTACAACTGGTTCAGGCAGCCATTTGATTTAATAAATCAAACAATGCTGCAAAATTGATGCAATCATGAGATCTACTGAACAGAACCCAGGGAAACAGCTATGGGACCTAGCACAAACACCAGAACAGAGAAAATTCTGTCTTCTCTGGCACATTTCTGGCTTCCTGAAACAGTAAAACAGGGGCTTTGAAATATTTATCTGTCCATATTTGTTTTACAGAGCATTCCTCCTAATTTATCTTGTATTCAAACAGTTCCCTTGGGGGGAGGAGTGTTATTTCACCTTCCTCACAGCAAATGCCAGCCATTCATTTTTAATAAGCAATAAAAATCACGGTAATGTTCTTAGTAAGTAAGATGGTAGTTTAGAAATTAGAAGCAAATGTAAAAGGAACTGACCTACTGGCAAGTTTAAAGAATTTTTAACCCTTTTCAGAACATAATGAATAAATTTTTACTCTTCACAGTAAAACATTCCAGTTCATAGCAAGTTAAGTGTCACTACAGTATGTCAGAAAACAAAGAATTAAGTTACTCTGAGTCAAAAACATGTGGAAGAAAAGGAAGAGGGCCCAGGAAAAATAAGAAGGCAATGCTTCCATTCTGAGGGCTGAGATCTGTTCTTTGCTGCACATTTTAAACCTTTCAAAGTGCTAGATTTTTCTTCCAGCTCCTCCTTTGTGCCGCATGCTCCTAACACAGGAGTAAGAATAACCATGGACTCTGAAAGTTAAACTGAAATTTACCAAAAAATAGAAAGACACTTTCAAACTCATTTAAAAAAAAAAAAAAAATCAGTGCAAACTTAAAGCCAAAGCCAAGGTCTTACTTTCCCGGATCTGGCATCTGTGTGCACAGCAATCGCAGAGACTGAAAACTCCTCCGAATTGAATGAATATTTGCCATCCCCATAAAAACAACTTCACAGTTCGGGTAATACTCTGGAGAGAATAACAACAAAGAGAACACAAATATGTTGAATTTAAAGTCCAAATGGCCAAATTTAAAAGGAGCAAACTGGCTATATAACAGACCCACTGTAGCTGCTGACTAATGAAATGCCAATGTTTTGATGCCTATTAGCCCAGTCCTTTATTATGAGAGGAAAACAATGCTTGATTTTTAGCTGTCTTTTCAAAAAGGAAGGTTAGATTTGTGAAGAAGATACTGATATAAAATAGAAGCTGTTATTTTTTTTTAAAAAAGATGTGTATACTTGCATCTTACCCCAGGTTTACTTCTTGGGTCTCTCCTCACTTGCATCTCTGGAATCTCTTTGAAAAGAACCTAGCAGAACCATGCATTTCTGCATTCAAATTTCACCTTGGTACAACTGCTTTTAGATTCCAGCTTAGCTCACAGCTGAAAAAGGAGCTCAGTGCCTCTACCTGCTCCAACAGCACACAACTGGCACCTAACAGGTCCTTGGAGAAAGCCAGCGTTCAAACAGTAGGGGTGTTATAGGTCAAGACTGAGGCACTTTGCTAGAGTTTTGTATCTGCTGCTTCAATTTCTACCCCATGTTTTCTAAGTAAAAGTCATGTGAGGAGTTTTCTGTGAGGCTAGTAATGAGCATACCCACTGTCAAACACAAAAAAAAGCTTTTAGAAGGCTGAGAAACTGAGCTGCTAAAGAAGCTTCCAAACATAACAGGCCTTATTATGGGAGAGGATTTACTTTCCTTATCACCTAAAAGTTGGCACAGGGAAGGTTCTTTGGTTTCACTGCACCTCCTCCTCCATTTCTCCCTTAAAAAGAGCATACAGTATTAAGAATCCAAGAAGGAGCTCTGGCTGTCTCAAGACAGGTTGAGGAACATGGCTTTCCATTCACTTCAAATTGAGAACTAAGACCCAGCTGGGCATGGGGTGGACTCACAGGGACAGAGGGTCAGGGACGAAAGCACTGTGCACCTCACCTGGGCATTCACAGCCTCCTCCTTTGGCTCGGTTCGCCACAGCTGCTGCATAGGAGCGTGCATCCAAGATCAAAAGCTTCTGTGGTTGGACAGCTAAACTCTCTGCTCCTGAAGCATTTGACAGAGAAGAATCTAGGGACATCAGGAGCAGGAAGGAAAAACTAAATGAACCTGTCTCTCCCAGAATTGCCACAAAGTAAGAACCACAGGCACTTATTACAGTACTCAAAAAACTTGATTAAGTGAAATCCACCTAACCAAAACTACATTAATACAATAGGACTTCTCTCTCTAGTTTGTTTTCTATTTTGCCTACAATCTCCTATACCGCATTTCTACATCTATAGTCCTAGAATGACTACAACATAATCCTGGTGTTTTCCCCCACGGTCTGGAGACACTGTAGGTCCCCTATCACATATATAATTCCATCTTGTCATGATGGCAAGAAAGACAACAAACACTCTAGTCCACTTAAACCAAGTCTGAAACAGAGGGTCTTCTGGTTTTTGCCAAGATCCATGACTCCTCGCACAATCCCATCAACTGATGCTTCACTCTCTCTCTCCTATGAAACAAATTCTGTGTCTTACAAGAAGAAGGCCATTTCACGAAAAGGTTCTCAGATGCTATAAAAACTGCTGCCAGAGGCCCAGGGAGCACCTTACCAAACTCCACATCAGAAAGGTCTCCTGCATTGGGGAAGTCTCGGGGACTGTTCCTAGTTGACAGCTTGCTGCCACTGGATCGGGAGTCGGAGGCACAAGCTTTGGCTACTGACTGCACCAGGTGCTCATCATCAGCATTTCGCCAGCCCCACCAGCTGACCTCCGGCTGTCCACAGCGGGCAATGACAGCTCCATTGCCCTGGTGCCTGTGCGGGGAACAAGACAACAACTGTACCCATCCCAGTGGCCCCATTCAGATGCTCTGTGCTCATACAAAAAGTGAGATAGTAGATTTTAAATGCCTTAATGAACAGCTTGACTGCAAGTAAGTGATGGGTTAGCTTCAAGTCCTCTCAGGGCAGAAGTCTTATACAGGAACAAGAATAACAAAACCCTGGGACTTCCTTGGCGGTCCAGTGGTTGAGACTCCACACTTCCACTACAGGGGACACGGATTTGATCCCTGGTCAGGGAACTAAGATCCCACATACCGTGCAGTGCAGACAAAAAATAAATAAGTAATAATTAGGGACTTCCCTGGTGGTCCAGCGGTTAAGACTCCGTGCTCCCAATGCAGGGGGCCCGGAATTGATCCCTGGTCAGGGAACTAGATCCCACATGCCGCAACTAAAAGAGCCTGCATGCCGCAAACAAGACCTGGCACAGCCAAATAAATACATATTTAAAATAATAATATTAATAATAATAATTAAAAATAAAAAATAACAAAACCTATCTGCATCTTTCTTGATTATCAAACCATTTTAGAGACCTCTGTAGAATAACCAACAAAATGATAAAAGTGTATTGTCAGAGAAAAATATTCATAAAGAAAATACTTGAATATTTATTTTTTGAAAATCAGTTTAAAAACTACAAATACCACACTTAATAATGAAGGATTAATCTCTCCTTTTTAATACTACACCTGAATATCCTAGCATAATAGATGCTGACAAACATTTGTTTCCTCACTGACTTCTGAGGGCCCACTGTAGCAACTGTACACTTAGGGCTGGCTTGTACACTTAGGGCTGTACACTTAGGGCTGGCTTTTCAAAACAAGATCCCACACGTGGGACTGATACACTTACCTGGCCCATAGTGGACTGCTTTACAAAACCTCCTGACATTTCATGAATCACAACTGCTCTTACTATAGGCAGATAGCTCAATGAGCCAGCCACCCTCTGTAAACTATTAGAAGGAAATGAATAGAATAAACATCAATAAGCCATACTCTGATAAGATCCTTTATCAAGAAATAAGACCAGGGCTTCACTGGTGGCGCAGTGGTTTTGAGAGTCCGCCTGCCAATGCAGGGGACATGGGTTCGTGCCCCGGTCCGGGAAGATCCCACATGCCGCGGAGCAGCTAGGCCCGTGAGCCATGGCCGCTGAACCTGCACGTCCGGAGCCTGTGCTCCGCAATAGGAGAGGCCACAACAGTGAGAGGCCCGCGTACCGCAAACAAAAAAACAAACAAAAAAAAGAAATAAGACCAGAAATCATACTCATAGTCTACCTTAAGATGCTCTAAAAACCCAAGCTTTTCTTCATTAGGAATTTTAGTTAGGCAATTTTAGCAACTAAAAAGTTATAAAGGTAATATTATTTGGCGATGAAAAGGAATCAAGTTCTAATACATGTTACAACACGGATGAACCTTGAGTATGTTATTGCTCTTAAGTGAAAGAAGTCAGTTATGAAAGACCACATACTATGATTCCATTTATATAGTGTCCAGAATAGGTAAATCTATAGAGACAGAATGTAGATTTACTGATAACCCAGAACTAAGGAGCTTGGGGAGGGAATGGGGAGTGACTACTAATGGGTCTGGGGTTTCTTTTTGGGGTGGTGAGAATGTACTAAAATAATTGTAGTGATAGTTGCAAATATACTAAAAAAAAAAAATCACTGAGCTATACACATTAAAAGAATGAATTGTATGTGACATCTCAATAAAGCTGTTTTTAGAAGTTACAGAGGTAATCAGTTCACTTTAAAAATAAATGAGTAAAAAAGCAAGTAAGCAAAAAATTTTAATGTCTCCCAATTCTATATCCTAGAGAGAAATGTCAATGTCTTTTACTCCCATTAAAGTTGTTTCTAAACACATATTCATACACACATATAACACATGTAGGGCACAGATGGATTTTTTAGAAACAGACTATTGAATCTATTTATCTTGTTCAAGGAATGTGAGAAAGATTTTTGTTTTCAATCCTAAAACTCATAAGCAATAAATTAAATTTGGCAATAATCAAATTCCACTGGAACCATCAGTTTGCTTGTAGTTTTTAAATCCTCCCTCATTAGGAGACAAATAATGGAAAGTACTTGTGTATTGCCAACACATTCAATTGGGTCACCTGCTGAATGGAGCCAAACTATAAATAAAACCTCACTGATTCTTAAAATGCCTCCTAGCATATTATAATAGGTGCTGAGTAACCAATGAGCTGATTGACAGCAAACCCTTTACAGGATAGGCTGGCAGGGCCTTTCCTGCACATCCTTTTCTTCTGAAATCTTTCCCAGCAATGCTCGAGACGAACAGTAGATGGCACTCGTCAGCCTGGGTCTTGGGTTTTAAGGGCCACATTATTATTTTTTTGGCCGCACCACGCGGCATGCAGGATCTTACTTCCCCCACCAGGGATCGAACCTGTGTCCCCTGCAGTGGAAGCAGGAGTCCTACCTAACCACTGGACCGCCAGGAAATTCCCTAAGGGCCATAGTATTATAATAGCTAGATTGCAACTGAACTGCTGCAATAAGCAGTGAAGTTTTCTGCAGTCTTCTAAATGCTTTAGATTGCATGAAAGAACAAAAACACTACAGCTAAAAATCACTAAAGAGCATTTCCATCATTTTACAAATAGAACAAGGAAAAATAAAAATTAAGATGTCCAATGTATGAGTCCCCTACTAAACACTAAATGCTTCAGTTTTATATAGAAAGATACAAATGTTTAAACTATCCTTAAGTTAGTATTAATCAACTCCCTAAATAACTAGAAGTTTCTAACAATCACTCAATGCACAAAGGGGGAGAGCTGTGACTTACACTACAGATAGGTGCCCTTCGCACCATCTTTCTGTGTTAAAGCAATCTCTGTCTTCAATAATAAATCCAATTAAGCACTCTCTCATTACCATAGGAGAAAGCACTAAATCAGGTGCTGGTTCAGCATGGTGCTGTCAAGTAACTGCTGCTAGCAACCTAAGGAGTCATTACTGCAATTTACAGACAACTACATTCAGTAAACACACGATGGATTCAGAAGCATCCTGCCACCTGAGCTAGGGAAGCTTATGCCCTCTGGAATAAACTTTGGAAGGGGAAAGAAGCTTCCCATGTTTACTCTAAGTTTTTCTTCAGCCTACACTTTTAGGCCTCTCTACCAACAGGGAGAATTCACCAAAAGACCCTTACTTTGAGAATGAGAATCCTTTCCCCTTATGCTCAAAGTCAGCAAACCTCACAAATGCCAGGGCTGCTGATCTAACACAGCTGCTGTCCGCAGAGCAGCAGCTGGCTGCTTTCCCTATTTGAGCTGGGCCGATCACTGATAAGACTCATTAATCCTTTCAGCTTTCACTGCTCTCTCTAATTCCTGTGTCATCCTTACCATTTGAGTGATAAGTAAATTTGGTGACCTACTTTTCTAGGAGTGTCTGAAAACAACGGTGATGAAAACTGAGGCTGAAAACTTAATGGGTTCCACTGGGACAGAAGCAAATACGTACTTTTCCATCTCTCCCTCTTCAGGGTGGGCATCAGAATCTGCCTTCCATGGGCTAAACAAGCTGGTTACCTCAGTGGGAATTCCACAATGAAATAAACCCCTTCTTACAACCTCAGTATTTCAATGGACTGCCTCCTGGCATGAGTTTCTAACTAAACCTCACTGGTTTGGCCCGAATTCAAGGAGAGTCCATAATGTCTGCAAACTGGAAAAATGAAATGGAGAATGTGATATTACAAGGATATCTGAAACTGTTCCAAAATAAGAGGGAATGACTTCTTAAAAATTTAACATGATTCTGTGAGAACTGAGCTAGCTATTCACTGAATTATAAAAGCAGCCCTCAGGAATACAACCTACTCCAGACATTGCTTAGGAAGCCCAGTGCTTCATTCAGATGTTGCAGCATACCTGTGAAGTAAGAACATCATTCCCATTTTACTAATTGGGAACGGGCTGAGGTCAGTTAGGGGACTTACTCAAGGTGCCACAGCAAGGCGTGTCAGAGAGAAGACCTGAATTCTAAAACCTGTGCTCGTCACCACACCACCACCCCCTCCTAGGACCTGCCTCCCTTGACTCTCCCGCCTTTGATCTCTGATAGCATCTATCCAGCCAAGCCCTAGCCTTCTTCTCTAAATGCTCCCTCTCAAAGCAGACCTCTTCCATCTGTCAAAGTTTCAACCACAAAGACAATCACAAATGACTCAAATCTACACTCCCAATTCGTACTTTCTAGGATTCATCTCTCTCAATCCAAAGGCCAACATCTGAAGCTAAATGCAATGAGCACATTGTCTTCCCACAGAATGTCAGAAGGATCTTAAAATAGCAAGTCCAGCCACTTTTCTATTAAAATTTTTTCAGTGTCAACTGAATCATCAGGTAGTGTTCCAGATGAATTACTGGTATATGAATGGACGAGCAGCTTCAGCAATAAGGAAGTACAGAATAACCTGGAAAGTTCCCTGAACCACCCCCCACCCCCACCCCCAGGTTAGCAGCAACAGAAGCAGCAGACCACATGCAGTGGGCAGTAGCACCAGACCAGGCTGGGTCTGGCCAGGCTTACTTACCTGTAGACAACGGCGGGGATGCGCTTCCAGGACCTGAAGCTTGCGACACTTTCTAGTTCTTTGTCAGTGATCCAAGCAGGCACTATGAGCTCTTGTGGATAGCTACCACACAGCCTAACAGGGAAGGTGAGGAAGAGGGAGAAGGGAAGACGACAGAGAGGGAGGGGAGAAGAGGGAGAGACATGAGTGAGCCAGCAGAAGGATGTCGATCAAGCTACCCCAGAGCCAGTTAAAAGGCAATGAGGAGCATTACCTGAGTCTTGGCCTGCTCAGCAGAATGGGTTGCCTTAAGTGTTTACTTATGTATATGTCAAATGATACTATCTTGGATTGTTCCACTTGATGCTGCCTTTTGGAAATCTGGCGATCTTAACTATCAATGTAAAAAGGGGAGGTGAGAGGCAGTTACTCCATTGTAACTGTTGTAACCAATATGTGGGTCATTTCTAACTACACAAATGCCCAGTCCAACTGCAGAGGTGGAAGTCTGTGTTACCTCTACCAGACCCTCAGTCTTTCAGGGAAACATGAGAAGAAGGGCCAGAGCCCACAATTTCAAGTTTCCAGAGACCTCATAGGATTACTAACATATTCTTTGATGTGAACCAAACAGGGTGTCCTGATTATAGGTAACAGGTGCAGCCATGGGTATATAGATAGAGCACTATGGGTCAGCCCCATCTGCATACATAATCGTAGCTCCATTAAGCCAAGTTAGTAATGTGAATATGCTATTAATCATAATTTCTATAAAACATACTTCAGAATAAACTACATTCAAGGGGAAAAAAAGCTGTTTTTCTCTTTTTTAAATTTAACTTTTATTTTATATTACAGTTGATTTATCATGTTGCATAAGAAAAGCTGTTTTCATTAGGGAAGATACTAGTAGGCACATACTAGTCCAGCTGGTGCCCTAGAAAGCATTATTTCTGATAGGTTTTTTACTTACAAGACATGTCTCTCTCTGGGAAACCCAATATTCCTTCTCAATAGCAAAGGCAATAAGACATTTAATCCAAATCCAAAAATATACAAACTGCTCCTCGTCCTCCACTACCATCATGGCCTACCTACTCTATGCATTAGGGGAAGAGGCAGAAAAATACAAACTGCTTAGGAATTGAGGGATCTGATCATTCTGCACTATATCTCTCTCCCTTATTCTCAATTTCCAGATTAAGTATCAGGAATTCAAAAGCCTAACCAGGAGAAAGGAGAGTGACCAAAAGTAGCTCCACAAACTTCCTAATACCTATCTACAAACTCCTAAAAATAACCTAGGACACAGATTATAAATTAACACTCTAACCATAAGTCTTGTTCCTTTTATCTTCTTCAAACTTAAGAGTAAATTTGGCTCTTATTCTTCCTTTGTAGTATGAAGAACTTTTCAATGTCCTGAAGGCTGGTTCTGAAGTGGAAATAGTGGACTCAAAGAAGTTAATTTTTAAAATCCATATTAAAAAGAGATTTCTGAAAACCACTAGCTTTTGAACTCAAAAATTTTTTCTCAACAAGCTTAGCTTAATTCAGGTTTTGTTTTACTTCACCCAATATTCTGGATCACTATATTCCTTGTTCTCTAAGGATTACATTACCTAGTAGTCAGCTCTTCAGCAAGTATGAGCTTCTCACTTGTAGATAAGCAGTTTCCAGTATAGGAAAGGTGGGTTACATGTGAGCAAAGCCTGTGGCAGCCTCAGGCTCCCTGAGGACCCACCTCCTTGCTCCACCTCAATTCTCTAATTTGACCTGTCACTGAGAACAGGCAAAGTATGATACGTCTGTAGCTCCTGATTCTTCACACCACCTCCTTGGCCAAGGTCCATGTTAAGAGCTGTGCGTAGTAATTAGCCGTTGTTTTTCCAACAAAAAATGAAATGCTCCGGTGGCTACCCACAAACAGTCCAGGAAAATACCTATCATAATTTGAGGCAGCTGGAAGGACAACAGAGTGATTAAGGCCTCCAATTGCTGCAGGGAAACTTGAGAAGGATATGTTAATTTTAAAATTCTGGACAATTTTCTTTTGTTTTATAGAAATTTGGATCACCAAAATCACAGTAGTTAACTGCCCTCCCCTACCAAAGTTCTTATACCTTTTAGGGAAATAGGTAATGGGAAATATGTAATAACGGTTACATTAATATTTAATGGTTAAGCGATCATAGCTGTGACACTAGTTTTAGAACAACAAACTAGAGAACAATACGGTAGCCTATTTCATAGGATCTGGAGTAAAATTACAGTAAAAACCAACTCGTAAGTGTTTTATCACTGCTTCTGAGATCACTAATCTTATCTCTAATGTGATGTCAAGCAGTGATGAGAACAATAGAAACTCCCTGTCTACAGGTAAGCACAATATTATCTAGACATGCATGTGCCAGGAAGAATAGGAGGGGATAGAAAGGAAGGTTCCAGGATCCTACTATAAGTAAGGATCTCTTTCCACTCCAGTGATAGCAATGGGAACAGAAGGCTCAAGAAGTACGCTGAAGATGAGGCATTTAGATTTAATAAATAAAACTCCATTTCAAAGAAAAAGTCTAAATTCAAATGTCCTGCCACATGAGAATTGGGGTTTCTTGCAAAGGCAGTGGCCATGAAACAGTCCACAGGGATCAAATACAACTCACTTGTACTTTTCATTGATGTTGGAAATCCTCCAGGCGTTGTTCATATCAAAACCCATCCGCTCCACTTCGTTTTTAAACCTTGATGTTACGTGCTCCCCTAGGAACCACAGACAGATAGAAGAAAGGACGAAATGAATATGATTTTCCACAACAGGTGGAATGAAAGCATTGCTACCCTGCTCAGTTATTTTTAAAAAGGTATTGTATAAATAACATATTTAGTTAAAAAAATCTCCTGCCAGGATAAGACTATAAGAAGAAATGAGGGAATTAATTTTGATTTTAATTAAGAATTAGTATTATCTCTTCAATTAAAAATAAACTAAAAAACAAAAAAAGAATATTATCTAGTCACTACTATCAAATTTGAGAGTAGTATCACTGGGCTCATTTTACAGAGGACAAAACTGAGACTGAGGTGATTATTATGGCAGGTCTGTCTCATCTCAAAACCCATGTTCTTATCCCTATACTGGCTACTTTCCCATTTCCACACTGAGACTGATGTATACATAAGAAATAAAATCAACAATTTCATCAAGAGTAGTAGTATAGACCTATAACTCCTCATGAGAAACACTTTGGGCCAGATTTCAGAACCTGAATTTTCTGGATTTTAAGGTGTGCATGTATAATAATACTGGGTTAATGCTATCAACAGCATTAACCAAACACTAACATCCTTACAGTGAAATGCATGGATAATTCACACTAAATGGGATAAATAAAGCAACAAATAGTTCAGATCAAGTCAAACTACCAAAAAAAATAAAAATCTTTTGATTTTCAGAACCTTACAGATTACAGAATTGCAGTTAAAAGATCATGGACTTTTAACTGCCAGTACCCAGGAATCTCAAGAAACACCACACTAGTAACTACAGTGCTGAGCATTTGTAAGAACATCCACCCAAACAAGTATAACCTGCCTACATTTGCCCTAATGAATTTGGCTGCTTCTTCAAGACAGCGAGCAACAAAGGCAGAAATGAACCGAACATAAAAGTCATTAAATCTGAAATAACTTCCTTCCTTGAAAACAGTCCTAGAGCAGTAATTTTATAAAAAACAAATAAACAACAACAACAAAACAAACCATTAAGCAGTACCTCTAACATATAGTATTATAGGTTGTAAAATAAATACTGGTGGGGGCTGGGAGAAACTACAGTAACAAAAGCATAAAACAGCCAGCACTGGTGATCAAAGCTTTGCTCTCCCTGGGAGAAGAGCTTCAGAATACGAAATAGCAATTACTTGAATGAAGGACAAGTCTATAAAACTACTTCCCATTTAAACTGCTTTTCTTGAGCTTAAACTAAGTTATTATATGTTTCCTGAAGGAGAGCTATAAAAAGGTGAGGTTCAGAGATGCAGGAAGAAATAATCAACTGAATCTATCCCATTTCGGAAAAGTTTTAAAAGCAATATAATCTTCCAAATAGGAAAAAGCTATCTGAATTGGAGTGTTGTCTACAAATTGCAAGGAATGGTCACCATCAATAATTCTACACAGGGAATCTTTCACTTTTAATCCCAATATAAAAGCTGTAAGAACTATGGCAACTTCCAAGTTCATTAATTAATGACAAGATTTTCCCCAACCTAGGATACAGCTCTAAGTCTTTGCAAAAGGTAAAGGTATTTTAATTAATGGTCATTTACATTAGTACCTCTATCTTAAACACATACTCTAAATAGAATCTTCTATAACTTTAAAATAATCACTGGCAAAATAACAACAAGAACCTCCTCCTCCTCCTTCCCCCCACTCCTCTCCCACCTCCTTCTCTTCCACGTCCTTCCCCTCCTCCTCAGGCAGTTTTCTACATAGAACAATTGCCCAAGAAAGGGCTTAGAATTACCATCCCCGGCATGAAATTCTGAGCTACACACAAAGAAATATACACTGAGTACTGAGCACAGAAAATCTGTTGTTTCAAGTTCCTTGAGAAGAGTTTTAATTATTTTTGTATCCTCTAAAGCAGTGACTTCATCAACTTCAACTTTGAAACTGACCATCACAACCCACAATAAGAATGTTTTGCATCACAACTCAATACGACATATTTATTTTTTAAAAGTTTCACAAAATACCCACCCTTACTATGTGTGTGATACATTGATATTTTCTATCCTGAATTTTCATTTCATATTTCATTTCTTAAAACTTTGATTTCATGACCTACTGGTGGATCACAACCTAGTTTGAAAACCACTGCTTGAAAAAAAAATTTAGCAGCAGACCTTACATACATGAGTAATTCAACTGGCTTTTGCTAAATTGTGTTAGAAGTTCACTTGTGTTCATTCTGCCAGAAAAGTGCATGCCAAGCACATATATTGCTGGATTTCCCTTAAGAACTCCCCTCTCAGAATTCTCGTGTCTCCACTGATTCAACATTAGATATGCTGTAATACCCCAATTTATTTGTTTAGCTTTGTATTTCCATTTCAACCCTTCCTGTGTGCCTCCCCCATCCCCAAATGAGGATCTGTCCCTTTTTAACATTTTGTATTTCTTATACTACAAACAGTCTAGCAATTCTTATTTTAATGGGAATGAAAAAATTTTAAAGCAGTAAATCCCTCTATCATAACCACAGTGTCAACCAGCAGTCTAAAAAAAAACTTCCCCGCAAAAGCCTAGCTTCCCGGTGATTCTGAGTATTCAAGCCTACAATTATACACAACTTAAAGGCCTGGGATAGAAGGGCCAGGCCCTTACTGTAAGGAAGAACAGTATCAGAGTCAGAGAAGGTGAGAACTAGCCCTCCCAGATTTTCAAATACAGAGGGAAGAATCCTTCTTTTCTATGAACAAAGGTCCCAGTACAGTCGTCTAGACGTACACTTACTGGACTGCATTTAAACTCAGAAAACGGACTCTGCTGACAGGGCTTTTACTTTATACGAAACAGGCAGCTGCACAATAGTATATGACCCAGAGTCATGCTATTCATAGTTAATCAAAATGTGCTTAATGGGTATATCATAGAAGAGAGGTCAGAGATGTGGGTCTGATGCTACTAAAATAGCAACTGAATTGCCCAGTCATCTGTCAGAACTCCAGATTAATGCTGAAGTACAGAACAGTCACCAAGAAGGCAGCTAAAATGAGAAGGATGTTGAGCATATGGGAGAGAAGCTTTAAGCTTTAGTCCATTCTTTTTTTTTTTTTAATTTTCTCCTGTTAATTTTTTTTTATTTTTTATTTTTGGCTGCATTGGGTCTTTGGTGCTGTGTGCAGGCTTTCTCTAGTTGTGGCGAGCGGGAGCTACTCTTTGTTGAGGTGCGCGGTTTTCTCATTGCAGTGGCTGCTCTATTTGCAGAGCATGGGCTCTAGGAACACAGGCTTCAGCAGTTGTGGCGCGCGGGCTCTAGAGCGCAGGCTCAGTAGTTGTGATGCACAGGTTGAGTTGCTCTGCGGCATGTGGGATCTTCCCAGACCAGGGCTTGAACCTATGTCCCCTGCATTGGCAGGCAGATTCTTAACCACTGTACCACCAGGGAAGTCCAGGCCATTCTTATTTAGAGTTTGAAAGGGGCTAAGAGCAGAGTCAAGAGTTTTACAATGAACTCCAACAGCAATGTGGTGACTTCCTCCAAAGCAGATTAAGACTTAGAGCTGTGGCCACAGTATGGCTGGCTTAACTATGACAGGTTCAACAGTCAGAAACTACGATTTATATGAATACAGGGTAATGATGTAATTTTCCCATTTCCCCCCTCTCTGACACATTCTACTCTTAACAGGCTAGGCAGAGAAGAATCCATAAAAGGTTTTATTAACTTTTGAAAGACTAAACTAACTTCCACCCTTCAGAGTCTATGCTTGTGGTCTCATGTGTTGGGACAGATTACAGAATGGCATGACTCTGAAATATCTCAAGTGCTGTCTCACATAAAGATGACTTATAAGAATGTGGTTGTCTGGTCTGCTCGTAATTGATAAGTAATGCTGTAGCCACCACCAACACTCAATGACATTGGGTGGAGACGAAAGAACTAGGTTGACTGGCTTTAAAAATGCCACCACAGGGGCTTCCCTGGTGGCGCAGTGGTTGAGAGTCCGGCTGCCGATGCAGGGAACACAGGTTCGTGCCCCGGTCCGGGAAGATCCCACATGCCACGGAGCGGCTGGGCCCATGAGCCATGGCCGCTGAGCCTGCGCACCCGGAGCCTGTGCTCCGCAACGGGAGAGGCCACAACAGTGATAGGCCCGCGTACCACAAAAAAAAAAAAAAAAAAAAAAAATGCCACCACAGTATTTTTTAAAAGCAGGTTTTCCTCTGTACTCCACAGTGAAAATATATAAAAGGAAAAAGCCATACATATATACACACACTCAAACCAAGTCACTGAAGTACAGTAAGATTGCATGTGAGTTGTAGCAGGTTGACTTCAGTGTGGAATGTATATATTGAAAAGAAAATACAACCTTTACTCATAGAGTAAGTTCCAATCAGTTACAATGGCACCGTCTTGTATAATCATAATTTCCAAAATGTATTCACAAGCATGGCACATAGGAGGCACTCAAACATTTACTGAATTGAACTCTCCAGCATTAACAGATTTGATCTTCAGAATATCCAGATCAGCTTGGGCAGGAAGAAAAAAAACGTCTCACTTTGAAGAACAAAAGAAACTAAAGTACAGAGAGGATAAATGGCTTGCCCAGTATTATTTTTAAAATTAAATGGTAGAGTACAGGTTTGAATTCAGGTTTTCTAGTTCATAAATCAGTATTCTAACCCCCAAATGCCTCCATCCATCACAAACCCATGAAAAGACAGGAAATTGGATGTCCTGGTGGCCAACGAATACCAAATATCTTCAAGAAGGGAAAGACCTGGGGACCAAAGTCATCTCAGCTCAGGACAAAGTCATCTATAATTAATAGACAGGAGTGAAGTTTTGATCTGACGCATCTTAGGAATATTCTAACAGTTGACTCAAATCCTAAAGAAACTAAATTATCAAGGGAATAAGGAATCATCTAAAGATGAGGAATTTTCAGTCTGTGGTTGTGAGAGAAACAGGTTAGGAGAAATTCAAGCCTTGTTAACTAAACACTGGCAACCCAAAACTGGGGAATGCCTTTTGGAGTTAAGAGCCTTAAACAAATCAAAGTTCTTATATAACATAATACAGCAAGATACACTCAATAACTTCATTATCCTAGGAGATGGTAGAGATTAAAAATCTAATAAATAAGATATAATGGCTAAAAACTTAGCAAATACACATGTAAGATATGTGCATTTCATTGCATGTAAATGTTACTTTTTTAAAAACTAAAAAAACTTGAAAAGAGCCATAAACAAAAAAAATTAAAATACAATGGCATTTCATATAAAGAAGGAAAAAGAAAGATGCAATGGATAAGAGAGTGAAGTGAGAGACAGCTAAGGCACATTCTCGTCACCTTCCAAGGTTGGTGTGGGTGACTCTTGTGAACAACTTTGGGTTCCACTGGCTGACCAGCCTTGTGGGAAGCTTGGATTCCTGGAGCTTTCCCTGAGGCTCCACAAGGGCAGGTGCCTCTGTTTTTCATCTCTGTATCCACAGCACCCCATACAGTCAGCTCCCAATAGGTAAGAACTGGGTTCAAGTCCTGGCTCTGTCACTGCCTAGCAGTGGGACTTGGCAACAGGCTTTACTCTGAGACTCCGTTTCTTTGGCTCCCAAAACAGAAACACCAGCCTATCTTGCCTGTTTGACAAGGTCATGAGGGTCAAACAAAAGTACATATTAAAGCATCTTTAAAAATATGTCTGTGTTTGCTATAATTTAATTAAATATATGAACCAAAAGCTTTAACCACTGAATGAGCCAGGAAACAAAGGGATCCAAGCATTGCTAGATTAGCCTCCAATGTTTAAAACAACCCAGGGCAGAATTGTTAATATTGAAGGTTCAGGACTGAAAATTGAGGTTTAAAGGAAAAAGTCTCTACAGTAAACTTTATTGGAAGGAAGCTCACAACGTTTCACTGCTTAGGAATTCAAGACGTTGCTTCCAAGCTGGACACATTAAAGATTCGGTGCTGGACCAGCAAAGTTCTATTTACGGCAACGTACAATTTATAGAAAACTACACACAGAGAAACAGCATGAACTTGGTCAACGCCATTTTTGAGGGAGAAAGACAGTGAGTGTGACAAAGATTTCATGAGGAGTCAGGAAGCCTGGGTTCCAGCATAGGCCCAACTTCTTTATTTGCCCTGAGAAAAGTCACCTGGCCTCTCTGGACCTCTGTTTCATCATCTGTGAGATGAAAGAGGTGACAAAAGGTAATCTATGACTTGAAATTCAAAGACAGCAAAAAGTCATTTTGTAATCCATTATTCTGTGGCCTAAGTTCACACTTCTGTACCTTTGTTCATGCTACTTGCTCTGTCTAAAGTTCTTTTCCCCAGTCTGTTATCAATGAACTCTTATTCAACCTTCAAAGCCTACTCAAAAGCCACTTCAAACGTGAAGTCTTCGCAAATATGTATATAACGCTCGTGGCTCCCTTCCACTGGGCTTCCCTAACACCCATACCCTAGGTGTTTTTAGTCAGGCCCAGTAAATTGTGATGCCAAGTCTAGTGTTCTTTCCTTCCCCCTGAAAGGTAGGAAACATCTTCCGTTGAGCTTAGAAGAATGATGGGCAAATGCTACGTGCTCCATAAAAAGTACACTGATTAAATACACGAATGCTAAGGAGTCCCATTTCATGTTATGGATATCTCAAGCAGTATTTCAATGAAATCACCATCTGAACGTTTTAGAAAGGCCTACCTGGCCTGCACAGGTCTCCATGTTGCTCTTTTTCACTGGCGTAGACCTCCATGCACCAAGCATGGTATGCAAATGAGAAGAGATCTTCTATTTTAGCAGGTGGTCGGACTGCATTGTTCAGTCTTTTCAGCCACTCTTGACACTGCTCAAAGGTTGAGAACTGACACCTTTGTAAAGCCAAACAAGTACAAATGTAATCAGAAGACAGCTGACAATGAAACCTAAGGGTAGCCACCATTTCAAGAGTGCCTACTCACAGTGAAATGATAACTACAGTCAAAAAAGCACTAGAGGGCTTCCCTGGTGGCGCAGTGGTTGAGATTCCGCCTGCCGATGCAGGGGACACGGGTTCGTGCCCCGGTCCGGGAGGATCCCACATGCCGCGGAGCAGCTAGGCCCGTGAGCCATGGCCGCTGAGCCTGTGCGTCCGGAGTCTGTGCTCCGCAACGGGAGAGGCCACAACAGTGAGAGGCC